AGCAATACAACTTGCAACTTCATTCCAGCAGTCATCCGATAAGGCGAGATCTCTGACGCCCTCAGGGATCCATGCAGTAGACAGCAGGTTAGTCAACAAACACCAACCCCATCAGAGCATTTCAACTTATGCTAAACAGCCTGCACGTTCAAATCCTAGATCTAAATCTAGTAATAATTATCAAAAATGTCATCGATGCAACGGTCCCAATGCATCTCATCGATGCAAGTTCAAGTCAGCAACTTGTTATAAGTGCAGTAAGCAAGGTCACATTGCCAAGGCCTGCTTTGCAAAGTCTTCGTCTGTTGCTAGATCTAGCCAGTCAGGACAGTACCGCAACCAAAGGCAGCACTATGTTAACTGTCACCAAGTCAGCCTAACCCAACCAATGAACCACTCTACCAGTGAAAATGCTCAAACTGATTCGCAGCCGGAGTTCAACCTGGTCTCTGTGAAATCAACAAGTCATGCTCCCATCAACGTACTAATTTGTATCAACGGTAAGAGCATCATCTTCCAACTTGACACGGGAGCATCTCTAACTGTCATCACAAAGAAGGACTTTGACGCTGTCACAGGAGGATCAGTGCCTCTTCAACCATGTCACAAGTGCCTAACAACATACACAGGTGACAATGTTCCGGTGATAGGAGAGTGTATGGTTCATGTAAGCTATAATGGTCAAAGTGTTAAACTTCCTCTTCTTGTGGTTGAAGGAAATGGACCACCATTACTAGGTAGGAACTGGTTAGTTGATCTTAAGTTAGACTGGGAGGGTATATTTTCAGTGAACAAAGCAAGAAATTCTAGTTTTACTTCAATAGATAAAGTTATATCTGAAAATGAAGGTGTCTTTGGTAGTTCAGGATTACTAAATGATAGGACAGTGAAGATAAGCATTAAAGACACAAATCCGAGATACTGCAAAGCTAGAGTTCCACCTTATGCAATGAGGGATAAAATTGAAAATTAGCTAAGTAGATTGGAATCTAATGGCATCATAAAGAAGGTAGACTATTCCGATTGGGCAACGCCCATTGTGCCAGTGTTAAAGAAGGATGGTTCTGTAAGAATTTGTGGAGACTATAAAGCTACACTGAATAAGCAAATAGAGCTAAATAAGTACCCTATTCCTAACATTGAGGAAATTTCTTTGAATTTGGCAGGAGGAGACAAATTCACTGAATTAGACTTTATTCATGCTTATACTCAACTAGAACTGCATCCAGATTCAAAAGTCTATACGACAATAAACACACATAAAGGACTCTACCAATATGAAAGACTATGTTTTGGTATATCATCTGGCCCTGGAATTTTCCAAGCTGTCATGGACAGTATTTTTCAGGACATTCCAAATGTTTGTGTTTACTTTGACAATGTATACATAACTGGTAAGAATGACACTGAACATCTTAAAACACTTGATAAAGTCTTGAAAATAGTTGGTGAAAAGGGTTTAAAGATAAACAAAGATAAATGTCAATTCATGCTGACAGATATTAGTTTTCTGGGTTATAATTTGAGCAGACAGGGTCTCAGACCTCAACCTGAGAAAACAAAAGCCATTAAAGAAGCACCCAAACCTGAAAATACCCAACAGCTAAGAGCTTTTTTGGGCTTGATAAATTACTATGCGAAGTTCATAGGGAATCTGTCTGGTAAACTATCACCACTGTACAAGCTGCTGCAGAAAAATGCAACTTGGCACTGGGGTAAACAACAAGATGCTGCTTTTAATACAGCAAAAGAAGCTTTGTCTTCTGACACCTTACTAACTCACTATGACCCAGGGAAAAGACTTATCTTAACATGTGATGCTTCACCAAATGGTGTAGGCGCAGTTTTATCCCACATAGATGAAAATGGTGACAGACCCATTGCTTTTGCCAGTAGATCTTTGAACCAGGCTGAGAAAAATTATTCTCAGTTAGATAGGGAAGGCTTAGGCATCATTTTTGGTGTTAAGAAATTTCACAAGTTTCTGTTTGGTAGGGAGTTCACCATCTTTACAGATCATAAGCCATTGCTGGGTTTGTTTGGGGAAAACAAACCCCTGCATAAGCATGCCTCACCAAGAATTCAAAGATGGGCTATCACACTAGCCGCATACAATTATGAATTGAAATACAAACCTGGATCTGAGAATAGTGCAGATAGTCTTAGTCGATTACCTTTAAAAAACCAAAGCCTTAGTTGTGTACCAGAAGATGTATTTGTTTTTTTCACTATCATGGATAACTCCAATATAAATGTGAATGATGTTAAGAGAGAAACACAAAAAGATGAGTGCTTGATAAAAGTATATGAGTACTGTAAGAATGAAAGAGTAAACAGGTTCTTAGCCAAATACCGCACAACTCCTCATATAACAACAGGTGTTGCACCATGCGAATTGCGGTGTGGTAGGAAAATTAAGACTCACCTTGACCTACTACATCCAACTGTTCAAAGGTCTGTTTCCCAACATCAGCATACACAAAAAGTAAATCATGACAAAACATCCATTGAGAGAGAATTTGGTGTTAATGAGAATGTGTATCTAAGAAATTATAGGAGAAAGGAAAAATGGATACCAGGTCAAATTGTTCAATGTACAGGACCTGTGTCTTATAAAGTAAAAACAAATGATGGACTTATTGTCCGTAGACATGCAGACCAGTTAAAAATAACTTGTGCGGATAATAAGTGTGAATCTGTCAATCCCGCCAAATCTGACTAGTTCACACCAACTCAGTTTGTTCCACAACCAAGTTCTGTTGATATGAGTGAAACAAGTAGTCTAGAGTCAGAAAATGTAAATTCTGGAATTAATGATTTAGATCCTGGACTTCCTGAGCTAGAGAATCCAGATGGTCAGAATCTTGAGTCACCGAATCAACAGCCACTGAGAAGGTCAAACAGGACAATCAAAGTCCCAGATAAGTTAGACCTTTGATTTTAAAGGTTAAGAGGACTTTGACATCATTGTTTTGTATTTTAATTATGTTGTAGGATATTTTGCATTTGTTTGTAAGGGTGTAATCTACCAAATGATTCAAATCATATAATGTTCATGTTACAATATATTTGGTGATTTTAGGATACTATCATTTGTTCTATTGAGAGCTGTGTTGTTGTTTACTAAGGGTAAAGGGATGTAATATATTGAGAATTGTGAAGTCAAGGGAGATCACTCTTCTTGTATTAGTCTTATATTTATAATGTTGTTTTGAGTGATGTCCCTTGTATGTCACGTGTCTTCCGGTAGCTGAATAAAGACTAGAAACATCAACGTGGCGGTATCGTCCGTTGTATCATAATAAAAACACCAATCTATTACAGTCTGACATATTTTTTTTGCTTACAAAAGTCATCGGTAGATCCATTCGGAGTTTCTTTCTGGCTTCTCTTTCTTTACAAACTTTTATTAATAAAAAGTTCCCTTTTCAAACCTGACGGCCTACGGGGCTAGTCAAGTAGAGTTCACTTGTTTCTGTGACCCCGGCATATGAAGAGATAATGTGGTCAGCACTATGCCCAGCAGTCTTTACTTTCCCTAACGTGAGTTAGGTACCCATCAGAGTTGGGTGGAATCAGGGACGGTCTACTGACCGTGAACCCAGATTCGAACTCGAAACTTACGGGTTCGCAATCCAAAGCGTGGGTCTCTTCCTAAATATTAGTAAAGGTATCCACACTTTTCTTTATAGATATTTAAATAGTAGTCTATAATTTAATTTTTCCTTCTTAGTGCATTACTATATAAAAGCTTGTTATTATAACGTTTTTTATGAAAAAAAATTTTACAAGCTTTTATTTAACTCACTTCCTCTATCTGTCGTCAGTCAGTCTGTCTAGCTCGAAACGCCCGAGCGAAATTGCAGGCACTTCTAACTGAAAGATACGGTTCCTAGTTGGTGCGTGGGTCAAGACATGAAGACAATGCAACATGACATTAAATTTGACTTAATTGGTTGCTTCATATTTTTTTTTATGAATTGATTAAAATTGTGTCCAAATTAGTAGGCTGTCTCAATGTAATAAGGGGTCGTCCATAAATAACGTCACACTCGTAGGGGGGAGGGGGTCCGTAATTTTGTGACGGTGTGTGATGAGGGGGAGGGGGTTCAGATGGTGGAACTTCACACTTTGGCATTATAAAAAAGCAATGTTATAAAACGAATTTTAGCAGTTATTTCGCGTTTTAGAAAACTGTTTTAATAAATTGTAATAGGAATTGATCAAAATACTCTAGGTTGACGGAGTTCTAACACGATTTTGGAAAAATATCGATGTTTAAAAATGTTGAAGGGGTTGTAGGCTGAGGTGTGACGTCATTTTAGAGGGGGGGGGGGGGGGTTCTGGCTTTTTGTGACGACGTGTGACGGAGGGAAGGGGGGTGAGGAGGTAAAAATCGGCAAAAAAGCGTGACGTCAGTCATTTATGCATGACCCCTAATGCACTAAAAAGTAGAAAATAAATTATACACTACTATTTAAATAACTATAAAGAAAAGAGTTGGTTTCTTCCTAAATATTAGTAAAGGTATCCAATAGATACTTATACTTTAGTGACCCACGCTTTTCTTTATATTTATTTAAATAGTAGTGTGTATAATTTATTTTCTACCTTTTGGTGCATTATTACATAAAAGCTTGTTATTAAAACGTTTTTTATGAATTTTTTAAATTAATTATTTTATTAATTTTGCTTCCCCTTCTCCCTAACTACTAGATCTATCTCAGTATCTGCGAAGGATAGAGGACTGCTTCATTTTAAATCATGTGAAGATTGATTTTAAAATGTTGGTAATGATACTTAGATCTAGATCTATAATTGTGTCAAAAATGATTAATATTTTAGTGTTCAACACTACATTTAAATTTACAGATATATTCTAGAATCTATATAGAGAATCTATATCTTTATAGACAGATCTAGATTATAGGTCTATTCTGGGCTCTAGAATCTATAAACAAATGATCCCGACATGGGTAAAATAAAAATAGGATGAAATTAAGAAACGGTTAAACGTAAATAAATAGGAAATGGCGCGCTACCACATCGTGACTAGAGTAGATATTAGATATCATTATTTCGACTAGACCATTTGGCATTTATATCTAGAGATCTACAAGCCTAGATTTAGATCTAGATCTAGACCTAAATTAAAAAGATTTCGAGACCTATTGATAAGAATCTATCCTTGCCAATAATCTAGATTATTCTAGATCTAATTCTAGATCAGATCTAGACCTAGATCTAAGATCTAGATCTTAGAGTCTAGAGAAATCTTGATCTAGAATCTATTCTAGATTTTCTAGAATTAGAATATAATATTATATAGATTCTAGAATCTAGATCTATATCTAGCTCACTGCTAAGTTAAGACCATCCACTTATTGCAGAGCAAAAATGGTAGGCTTAATTAATGACATATTTTTTATTTAAATTTATTGATTTGTTGATACATTTGATTTTAAACATTAGGACCCAGATCTAGATCTAGAGTGAAGTTCCACAATCGGTCACACATAGCGAACTCCCGACTTTCACCGGGCGCTATTTTGTAACCGTTTAACACAGAAACAACCCAAAGTAACCCTAACCCTAAGCCAAAGTACTATATCACTCCTCTGCCTTTCTACTCTTAATATGTATCAATCATTTTATATTATATTCCTACGCATTGAATTTGAGATATTCATGTTTTAGTGACGTGCTACTTGCGATATTTTTTCCCCCTCTTTTTTTTTCCCTGCGGCCATCTGAACCGGCTTGCGTAACGATCGTGTTTTATACGTTTTAATCCTAGTTTAATAGGCCTAAATAAAATAAATATTTTACACTTTTAAACTTGTTGTTGATTGTATTATTAATTAATAGATTGCAAAACCAAATTAAAAACTTGTTAATTAAATTAATTAACGACATTAAAAGTTGACCCAGTGATGACTCAAGGGACGCAACTATATTAATCATAACAAAGGGACGTAACAACCACTGACAAGACATAACGTAACATTTGCTTAGATATGCTTGTATGTAGAGTCACAATCTAGATTTAGAAGAAGTAGATGATCGAAATAATTTAAAACAGCAGAAAAAAAATAGAAATTATACAGATTCTAGGCTTAGCTTGAAATGTAGAGCATCTAGAACTAGGCTAGTCTAGCTCAAGTCATTGGTTACGCAGCGAGGTGAAACCACCCAAATCGTTACCCAAGCTGCGGCCACCCCTATTCACCTATCAGGTTGCTTTATTAGCCTTATCTATCGTATGTACATGTCCCGCACATATTGTAGAGGCTATTTATAGTTAACCTAGTTATAAAAAGCTTTGATTGGTTGGTTTATTCATCTCATCCGGGACCTAGTGTTTTTCATAGGGGGAACTAGAATCGCCTACGACGTCATACCTCGAAACTTTAAAATTTAAAAACTCGACTTCCAGAAGGAGAAAAACAAAAGAATTTGACCTGGATATATTTAGAAATAGACAGGTTTACAGCAGATATCGGTAGTTTCGTATAAAACATCAAAACAAATATTGTACGAAGCGATAAACAGGCGATGGCAGCACCCGGGTTTTAACCACGCGTGGAACTTTACTCTAGATTCTAGTCTTAGTTAGTTTAACTGCTAAGGCTAAGTTAAAAAGTTTGATTCACCTTCATCTTGCGATCTAAGCTAGATCTACATCTATCTACATCCTGACTTTTTCATTTGTACTTGAAAAAATTTGCCATTCTAATGAATGCCTATTCTAGCGATAAGAATCAAAAAATTAAATATAAAGTAAAGTTCCGTACGCTGTTAAAACACCGCTGCAGCCGCACTCCTGTTTTTCCCTTCATATAATAATTCACCCAATTGTTTGGATGTTTTATACAAAACTACCGATATCTGCTGTGCGCATGTCCATTTCTAAATGTATCCAGGTCAAATTCTTTTGTATTCTCATTCTGGAAGACGAGTTTTTAAATTTTTAAAGTTTAGGTATAACGTCATAGGTGATTCTAGTTCCCCCCAGATGAAAACACTAGGTCCCGGATGAATAAAACCAATCAATCAAGGCTTTAATAACTAGGTTAACTATAAATAGCTTCTACATGTGTGCGGGACCCTGTAAATACTATAGTTAAGGCTATTAAAGCAACCTGAGAGGAGAAATTGGGGTTGTCGCAGCGGGGGGTAGCGATTAGGGTGTTTGTTGTACCCTTAATGTGTCACCAACTTGAACTAGACTAGCCTAGATCTAGATCTTCTCTATTTAAATCTAAGTCTAGAATCTAGGCCTATAGAGAGGTTGCACGTGATGTCATGGATTTGTAACCATGTAAACGTCCGCCATTTTGGGTCTACATTCAAAATGGTGGTCTGCGCTGTGAAAGGTTGTAGTTCTCGCTATGGAAATTGTAAAGGCATTTCTTTATTTCGACTGCCTAAAGTTATATTACACCAAGGTGAAACAGATCGGCAGTTAACTGAACGTAGACGTCGTACATTTTTGGCCAATATTTACCGAAGCGGTGTGAGTGAAGCAGCTGCAAACAACATGCGGATCTGTTCTCGACACTTTGTTTCAGGTAAAGAGTTAAATGATTTACATTTAATAAAATGTTAGGTCATCTCAAATACTAATATATCGAAAGTTATAAAACGTAATTTGTATTAGAGTCTAGTCTCGTGAATATATATAGTCAATATTCGATATATTATATAGATCTAGTAATATATTGTATTATTTTACCATACTCGAGTCATATTGACGATAGAGTAAGGCCTAGCATTAGCTGGGTAGCTAGATCTAGAATCTAGTTAAATACTCTATCTACAACTACTACTAGATCTAGTACTGAAACTTATAAACTAAGGTCTAATTATTATTTAACTAATTAAAGTCTCATAAACACTTATAATATATGATAAGCCTAACAACTTTACTATTGTATTACGGCATAAATAATTTTTTTTGGTTTCTGCAACTGAAATTATTGGAAACAGATTGGGTCACAGCTTACACTAGTTCTAGGTTAGGCAGACATAGAACTCTAGGATTAACTAATTATTACTTAAATTAACTTTACAAAATTTACACTAGATTCTAAATGTTTTATCAGAGTAAATAAAGAATAGTAAGTAATAGATCTAGTAGACTTAAGACTTAAATATAACTTTATTTTTTAAACTGTATATCATATTGAGTCTAGTAATTATTAATAACATATTATATATATTATAGTTAGTCATATTTCTCATATTTGGATAAGCTTTTTAAAAATAGGCCTTCTATTCACGTGTAGTCTTTTTAAAAAAAAATATTCTATTTATCCAGGTAGACCAGCAAACTTCAGAGATGAAACAAATGTTGACTGGGCTCCCACCCTGTTCCTTGGACATGATAATATTTCTATGGCAAAAGTGAAGTTATCAGTCGAAAGACACACACGTACATTAGAGAGACAAGCAAAGAAACGTGCTTATGAAGCTGCAGAGGCCCTTTTGGTACTACCATTGGGCAGTTCAACAAATATCCAGTGCTTCAATAATCAAACAGCCAATACTTCCCCAGTGGATATGGGTGAAGGTAGTTCAAATATTCAGTGCTTCTATAATCAAACAACCATTTCCCCAGTGGATATGGGTGAAGGCAATTCAAATATCCAGTGCTTCAATAATCAAACAACCAACATTTCCCCAGTGGATATGGGTGAAGGCAATTCAAATATCCAGTGCTTCAATAATCAAACAAACATTTCCCCAGTGGATATGGGTGAAGGCAATTCCAATATTCAGTGCTTCAATAATCAAACAAACCACACTTCCCCAGTGGATATGGGTAAAGATAAGGCAAATATTCAGACAATCAACACTTCCCAATTGGCTATTAGTCATCAATATGCAAAGGATAGCACACAAACTATCACTAGCAGCATTGGTGTCAATATAGATTCTCTTTTTTTTGAGATGCAACAGTTAAGGTGTGAGAATTATTTGCTTCGTGAAAAAGTATTATGCTTTGAGCTAACCCCAGAGTCTTTCATAAATGACGATGATAAAGTCAAATTCTACACAGGTATTCATTCTTATGGTGTACTGATGCTTATCTTCAATAGCAGTAGTGGCACTATAAATCATAACCACAATAATTGTCTCACCAAATTTCAGGAATTTGTGCTAACATTGATGAAATTAAGGCTTAGTCTGCCGCTGCGAGATCTGTCATACAGATTTAAAATTTCACTGTCAACAGCCAGTAGAATTTTTGAGAAATGGGTTCGCCATATGGCTCACAACCTTAGACAATTTATAGTGTGGCCTGAAAGGGAGGACATACAAAAAACTATGCCTAATTGTTTCAAGCGTTCCTTTGGTGCAAACACAGCAGTTATTATTGATTGTTTTGAAATTTTTATTGACAGACCATCAAGTCTAGCTGCTAGAGCAATCACCTGGTCACAATATAAACACAACAATACCATTAAATTTCTTATAGGCATCACTCCACAATGTACTATATCTTTTATATCTAAGGCTTGGGGTGGTAGGGTTAGTGATAAATACTTAACAGAACATTGTGGCATTTTAAACAAACTTTCACCTGGAGATTTAGTTTTGGCTGATAGGGGATTTACAATAGCAGATAGTGTTGGGCTTTATTGTGCAAAGCTTGCTATTCCTGCTTTTACAAAGGGAAAAAAACAACTATCAGCTTTGGAAGTGGCTGAGACAAGAAAGATTGCAAATGTTCGGATTCATGTAGAAAGGGTTATTGGGTCAGTTAGACAAAAATACAAAATTCTAAGTGACACTTTACCACTGGATTATTTAAATGAAAAGGGCAATCCTTTAATAGATGATATAGTGACCACTTGTTGTGCATTGATTAATCTTTGTCCAGCTATTGTGCCTTTTGATTAATTTGAGTATTTAAAAATGCCATTTATTGTTGTCAGCACAATCTATTGTTACCAGGTTGTATTTTAATATTTAATAAAAAATAAAAACACATTTCATATTTCATTTTTATTTTAACTTATTCAGAGTAGGCTTATTTCTTTTTGTCAGTGGTAAGCCAACAGCTTTAGTAATGCCAGATGCCTTTTTATTGGTATAATAGCATGCCAAGAGTTCAGGCAATATAATTTTCTGAAAAAATTCTGCTGCCTTAACAGAGATGCTTGACCACAAATTACTGTCAAAAAAAATTCTTTCTATGTGAACATCTTTTGTTGTCCATATGACAAAATCAGCATATGAAGACTTGGTAGCTGCCATTTGGGTCTGGATTTGATAGTAGTAGCGGTGTGTGCTACTTAATTGTTTATTTGGTCCCAGACCAAGGTTTTTGGCCTCCTTATTGGATATGTCACTTAACATTTTCTCCTTAGTGCATGAAGGACACTTTATCTCAACCACACCTTGTCCACAGCAGTCACAGGTAACCATACCATCTGGAGAGGCTCCTATGTAGTGCATTTCAGGATGAATTACTAGTCCACTTTTTGTAATTTTAAAATTAATATGCTGTGCCCCCCAGCTTTGTGCATATTGCTGAAATGCAAAGCTTTCATGTTCACAACCCCACCTCATGCCAGGAGATTGAAATGTTTGTTGCTGAGGGTAACATATTTGTTTTACAAGGCACATTGATGGCTGTGCTAAGTTGGTGTTGCAACAGGCTTGAATTCTGGATGCAGTAATACGCCCAGCTCTTTGACGAAACCATTCCTTTGAATGTGACTGATCTCTAGTTGCAGCTTCAATAGCCTGCCGAGAAACCTCATTGAAATGTTCCCAGCGTAAAGAATTCCCCACTGCCACTAGCTGAGTGTAACTTAAATTTATGTGTTTTGGGTCAAATAATGATGTGAGCGGAGAAGGTAGTGTTGTCTGTGAAGCTCTGAATGTGTAAGTGTGTTTAGGGAGTATTGATAGAATAGCTGATGCACAGCTTATTTTTGATAGCTCTTCCAAAAATGTATCTTTGTCTAGCGGGGCAGACTGTGTTTGTTTCTCTATGACTGATGTGTTTATGGTTGGCTGCTTGTCTAATTTCTTCTTCTTTGCCTCTGGGGTATCAAAATTTACATCAGCCACCGCCAGATAAGGGACTTTTTGAAGGGAGGGAGGGAGAATCCACTGACAAGTTTTTTGTGTGGTTGACACATTATCTTGCAGTCTACATCCTGCTTCTATGGCAAACAGCAGGGCCCCTATGTGTGAACACGATTCGCCTAGCCCAGCCATGCAATTGCAGTGGGCAGCCAAAATAACTCCAGTTTGTTGACAAAAAAGCCATGGCTCAACTGGCTTTTCTGCTGCCTTTTGTGAATGCTTGACCTGCAAAATAAGACAAGTATTAATTAACAAATTGAGGCTATAACATAAACACAAATCAAACTGTTGTAGCTGATTAAAAGGAAAAATAATTCAAGCTAGAAAACATTGGATTATTAGATTCAACAAAAATGTACAGGTCCTAAAAAGTTTGGTACCTTATAGTGGTACTAATTTTCTATTTGATTTTTTAATTTTATGAATGGGCTCATCATGGGTTTATTATCATGGTTTAAGCATGGTAAACCCATACCAAATGTTGCCATCAACTACCACTGAGCAGAACAAGTCACCAAATTTAATGTAAAATTAGTGTTTATTTTATGTGAGAATGGTTTAGAATAATCATCAATATTATTAATATAAATATTGGATTAGTAAAATCCAAAAAAATGGACAGGTCCTAAAAAGTGGGATACCTGCCTTATACTTACACCCTGCTTTCCCCTAAGTCATTTAAATATTTAGGTAAACATCATAAGACATTATATTTAGTCTATTAATTAAGAATTGACTTACTTTGGCAACAACGACGACTTTGCTTCCAAATTCTCTGCATTTTATTTGGGACACAAGCCCATCCGTAAAGTATACATAGGACTTCATGCTTTTATAGTTTCTCATCTGTTCCTGTGTCACTTTGTTGGTCGAAAACACTAAATAGTTCACTATGTCCATGTTTTCAATTTTTGGCCAAATACTGATATCATCTACAAGTTGACGCTGATCACTAAGAAGATACGGATCTTCAATGCATAAAAGTTCAATTTTTTTAATGTATTGTTCTTGCTCGGTAGGTGCGAGGCTTTTAACATAAGCTGAACACATTCTGGAACTAGTCTAACACAAAACTGTACTGAAGACTCCACTGCCTAGCGCTTTATATTAAAATAATTTATATACACCGGTTGTTAGGGCCGGCGATAGGGCATCAACATGGCGGTCAACATGGCGGCGGATGAAACATCACGTGGTTTTGGTCACGTGTGTGCAACCTCTCTATATATTGTCTTAATTTGTCTGTTGTTTTAAATTATTTTCAATCATCTACATCTTCTAGATCTAGTTTGTGTCTCTACAGACAAAAAAGTCCAAGCAAATGTTACATTATGTCTTGTTAGCGATTGTTACGTCTCTTGTATTATGTATATTATGGTTGCGTCCCTTGATTGTTCACGGGGTCATCAGTGATGTGTAGTTTAATTACAGTCTTTTTTATTTTGTTTTGCAATCTCTTAATTAATAATACAATGAACAACACATTTTAAAGTGTTAAATACTTATTTCAATAATTAAAATTATGGTTGTTACGTAAGCAGGGGCAGGCAAAAAAAGGCGGGAAAAAAATATTGCATGGAGGCTCGGCACTAAAACATGAATATCTCAAATTCTATGTGTAGGAATACAAAATGACTCATACATATTAGCGCAGAATGGCAGCAAAGTCACAGAAGACTTTTTGTTTGTTTCTGTGTGAAACAGTTACAGTCACACAGTACTTTCAGTTTGTTTCTGTGTGAAACAGTTACAGTCACACTCAGTACTTTCAATTTGTTTTTGTGTGAAACAGTTACAGTCACACAGTACTTTCAGTTTGTTTCTGTGTGAAACAGTTACAGTCACACAGTACTTTCAGTTTGTTTCTGTGTGAAACAGTTACAGTCACACAGTACTTTCAGTTTGTTTCTGTGTGAAACAGTTACAGTCACACAGTACTTTCAGTTTGTTTCTGTGTGAAACAGTTACAGTCACACAGTACTTTCAGTTTGTTTCTGTGTGAAACAGTTACAGTCACACTCAGTACTTTCAGTTTGTTTCTGTGTGAAACAGTTACAGTCACACAGTACTTTCAGTTTGTTTCTGTGTGAAACAGTTACAATCACACAATACTTTCAGTTTTTTTCTGTGTTACAATGTTTCTGTGTGAAATAGTTACGATGTTTCTGTGTAGTATGCACCATTCATACCCAAACTTGAAATTGATTGCCTTTTGAGATTTAGTTACTTTTGTGTCTACATATCTTTGGGAGAACAGATTTTCAACATTTCTCCAAATAAAAACAAAACAAAGAAATTAATTATATGTTTAGAATGACATGAGGTTGCGTTAACAAAAACTCAACCGCAAATGTTGAAGCTAGTTAACAGCATGCAGTTTCACTCATAGTATTAAAACCGTTATCAAGAATAATTTATATAGAAAGTCTACTAGAACATCTTATTTTAATTCTTATTAATTTCCTTACTAATTTCGACTTTTTAATTCTATGGGGAACCACTGAACTAATATATTTTGCATCAAGCTTAGATATTCATGTAAAATGACTTATGGATGGTGTCTAAATTTAAATTTCCACGTTTGAGGATTAACTGATTAATAATATAAATACAAAGATTAAATTGGTCATTTCTAATATAATAGTACATTATCTTTAAAATTTAATAATAGTTATAAGATAATACTACAGAGGTAATGGAAAGTAAAAAAAAAAAAACTAATTCAAAGATAAAGCTGGAACATTAACACTTTAATAATGTGATCTAAAGCAACAGTAATTAGTTGTTTAAAAAGTCAAAAAGCAAAGAAAACAGAACTATGTGACTTTATTTTACTTAAAAATAACTGAAACTAAGCAACAGTAATATAATTTTTAAACAGTAGGTTCAGATCAGCAAATAAGGCAGCTGTCTATCCTTTGGTTGTGGCACATCACATCTAGTTTCTGTAGGCTATTTATTGATTAGCCATCCTTAACTACTAAATAAAAGTAGCCTTTAACTAATGCTACTAATATTTAGATACTTCAACATAATCATTTAATTTTGCAAGGGCGGTGCCTCAGGAAGGTGCCATTTATCTTTATATGCTGTATATAAGAGCGTTGAGCTCAATGGTGCCTACATCTTTATATGCTGTATATAAGAGCGTTGAGCTCAATGGTGCCTACATCTTTATATGCTGTATATAAGAGCATTGAGCTCAATGGTGTCTACGCTCATTCCATTTATCTTTATATGCTGTATATAAGAGCGTTGAGCTCAATGGTGCCTACATCTTTATATGCTGTATATAAGAGCGTTGAGCTCAATGGTGCCTACATCTTTATATGCTGTATATAAGAGCGTTAAGCTCAATGGTGCCTACGCTCATTCTAAACAATGTGATAGGCAATGGATAAGATGGGGCTTTGCAGACGCTGACTTAATTGAATCAGACGTGTTCGCTAGCGCCCCAGCAGGCTGCGAATTGGCGCCCTGGGCTATCCTGTGGGCAATATAGCCTACATTAGTTTTAACGAGCACCTTACAATATTGACCAGGTAGCACACAACATTCAATGATTAAACCGAGCCAGGGGCCATACACGTCACCCCTTCGCTAGTGTAATTGTGGGTCCCTGAGAGCACCCCTCTACGTCACTGATAGGCGGTGTGTAGTTAACTGTGATATTACGGACAGTGATTTATGTACACTCAAGGCTTTTATACTGCATGTCCCATGGCATGCTGGGCGGTAGTGTAGGTAAACCTGTGCCCCGATAAATATGATTCAAGCCGCATGCATTGTTTACATTTAAATAACTCAGTTTTAGAAAACAAGGTCATGAGTCTAAGAATATCGGATTGGTAAAGCATTGATAAAACCCTCCTAATATATTTCATCAGACTTCGTTTTTTCTTTTATGCATTACTGCACCTTTCATCTGATCGCCATAAAACTTTGAGTTTATCAGAATACCCCGAGATGGTTTCTGCAGGGGGGGGGTCAATTTGGCTCCCAGGCTTTCCTGTCAACGCTATGGTGCTTTTGTTCATTTTAATCAGTGCGATAGACTATGGGTAAAATGGGGCAATAAATTGAATCAGGCCTGTCCACCTGCGCCCCGGCAGGGTGGGGGTTTGGCACCCTGGGCTATCTCTTGAGTGCTATGCCGTCTACTTTCATTTTAAACAGTGCAAAAGACTATGCATGAGATGGAGTCATTCACTAAACATAATCAAACACATCCCCCGGCAGGGTGCTGTTTGGCACCCTGGGTTAACCTGTGAGCACCATTGTGGCTACATTAGTTTTAAGGAGTCCTGGGTTAACCTGTGAGCACCATTGTGCCTACATTAGTTTTAAGGAGTCCTGGGTTAACCTGTGAGCACCATTGTGCCTACATTAGTTTTAAGGAGTCCTGGGTTAACCTGTGAGCACCATTGTGCCTACATTAGTTTTAAGGAGTCCTGGGTTAACCTGTGAGCACCATTGTGCCTACATTAGTTTTAAGGAGTCCTGGGTTAACCTGTGAGCACCATTGTGCCTACATTAGTTTTAAGGAGTCCTGGGTTAACCTGTGAGCACCATTGTGCCTACATTAGTTTTAAGGAGTCCTGGGTTAACCTGTGAGCACCATTGTGCCTACATTAGTTTTAAGGAGTCCTGGGTTAACCTGTGAGCACCATTGTGCCTACATTAGTTTTAAGGAGTCCTGGGTTAACCTGTGAGCACCATTGTGCCTACATTAGTTTTAAGGAGTCCTGGGTTAACCTGTGAGCACCATTGTGCCTACATTAGTTTTAAGGAGTCCTGGGTTAACCTGTGAGCACCATTGTGCCTACATTAGTTTTAAGGAGTCCTGGGTTAACCTGTGAGCACCATTCTGCCTACATTAGTTTTAAGGAGTCAGGGGCCAACGCGTCGCCTCTGCTGTAGTGTAATCATTGGCTCTTGAGAGCACCCCTCTATGTCCCTGACACCTAGGTGGTCACTGAAGTGTGTTCTACCTATTACGGTGAGTGATGAATGTACACTTAACCCTTTGAGCCCTGGCCTCCCTGGCCTAATTTCTCCCATTTCCTGAGCTCCCAGGGCCAAACCATTTTTAACTTATCTGCTTCTAACTTTGCCTATAACTTTTGAACCGTTTGAGATAATCAGACCAAATTTGGTATCCAGACTCAGGATCAAACATCAAAGCAGAAAGATTCTGAAATTCTTTATTTGTTTACAATGTATGAACAGAACAATGTATATAAAACGAACACGTAATTATTGTTTTGATAGAACATAGAAGAAACCAATTTTCATTTAGTAATTGTTTTGTTATTATTGATACCTGGCCATACTAGTTCATCGCCAGAAGTCCACTTTTGTGTGATAACTTTCAAAACAGTTATCACTGCCGGACCCGATGCAAAGAAAAAATTTGCATGTTTTGCACCAGTAAACAGTTTTATTTTTTCGTTTCGGCAAGTCTTTGTCCTTGGCACCACGTGCATCAGAACGTACTTGAACAGTTTCATTGTCACTGTCAATTTCAATGTCACTGAGTTCAGTCTCAAATTCAACGTCACTATCATCACAACATAGACCAGGTATATTATCTTCTTCATCAGATTCAATAAGTAGTTGTAATGCCTGAGTTGCAGTCATTCTACTTCTTTTGTTGATATTTCGGTCTTTTGCTTCATCTTTTGCACCAACTTTACGTGCTGAAGTCGATGGCTGTGGCTCAGCTTTTCGTTTCGGCGGCATTGCAACGAAATGTAAACACTTTCACTTTTCCTAAAATCTATTTTTAGAATCATAATCACGCACTAAAAAGACATGCGCAGTTTTAGTCAGTCTTCCACTAATTATATTTAATTAGACGGTATACCGGCCGCTAGGAATATGACGCTAGATCATCGGGCCGGAAAACCGGCTTTTAGGACATATATGCCTAATGTTGAAGCCGGTTTACCGGCCTGGCGGGCTCAAAGGGTTAAGACTTTCATGAGGTAGTGTAGGTAGACCCAGCTTCAGTTTTTATTATTTTTATGGACACTTTTGATTGCAAAATCTAAAAATCACCTTTTATCCATGTCAACAATTATGGTCACTTTTGATTGCAAAATCTAAAAATCATTTTTATCCATGTCAACAATTATGATGGAAGGATTCTCCTTAACTGGGTAATGTCCATTGAGTCAATGAAATAAAGTCAATGTACTGTTGCTAGTGGGTGCCACCTTGTAGATACTGTATGGAAGGTATTTGTTGTCAATTATCGCTAAGCAATATTTTCAGGATATAAGGAATTTTTTTGGATCAAGCGTAGCACACGTAAAAAGTTCACATAACAAGCAAAGAGTTGAATCAGGCAAGCAATCAGCCAGACAAGCAGTGAAGTGTCCTACACAGAAAGCGAGTGAGGACTTGGTATCAGCCACAAGAAAGGGATCTGCTAAACACTGCACAACATTTGGAACTTCATCTCAAAATAAGTATAGCTTTGATGAAGAAAGTGATGCAATTGTAGTCAATGATGATTCAGATAGTGAAATTATTAAAAATTCTCAAGACTCATTTCAAGGTAAGAAAAAAATGAATGGATTGAGTGTCATTAAGGGTAGTAGCCAGATTTCTAAAGACAAAAATTCTAAATGTGTTGGCAAAATAAATGAATGGCAAAATGATGAAAAGAATAGCAAGCAGTTAGAAAGGAAAAAAAGTGTAAATAAGAAACAGAATGAAAACAAAAGGAGGTCTCTGGAAGAGGAGTTAATTGAAGTGGAAAGTGTCAAATCTGGTTCCTCAAAGTCTGCCAAGCTCTCTTCTCAAGGGAGTGAGTCCATTCAAGAAAAAAGAGGTGAGTCGACCAATGCTGCAAGCAATGACCATCAAATTGAGATCAAAGCAAATCCCAAAAAGAGAGCCCAAAAAAGGAAGGTGAGTTAACATTCTTATTGAATAATCTTGATTAGGAATCATGCATTTGGAAGAGGAATTAGTTCATAGGATTTTAATGATCCTAACCATTTTAATTTTAAGATCTTGTTGTTTACTTGTCTAGCTATCAGGTGAAGAAGAAATATCAGAGTTAAGCAGTAGTGATGCTGATGAGTTCATCAGCAGCAGAAGAAAAAAGGCTAGTTCCAGCATGGTCAAGTCATCTAAAAAAAATAGAGTTCTAGACTCAGGTAGGTTAGGCTTAAAGCAATCATCAACTGATTCTTGCACTTGTTGCTTAAAGCCATCAACTGATTCTTGCACTTGTTGCTTAAAGCCATTAACTGATTCTTGCACTTGTTACTTAAAGCCATTAACTGATTCTTGCACTTGTTGCTTAAAGCCATTAACTGATTCTTGCACTTGTTACTTAAAGCCATCAACTGATTCTTGCACTTGTTGCTTAAAGCCATTAACTGATTCTTGCACTTGTTGCTTAAAGCCATTAACTGATTCTTGCACTTGTTACTTAAAGCCATCAACTGATTCTTGCACTTGTTGCTTAAAGCCATTAACTGATTCTTGCACTTGTTGCTTAAAGCCATTAACTGATTCTTGCACTTATTAACAGACTCTGATGAAAAGCCACTGGTTAAAGAGAAATCAAAAGGAAAAAAAGAGAAAAAAGAATTACAAGATGACTCTGGTAAGAAAAAAGAAAAGTTTAAAAACTTGATCACAGAATAAACCTGATTGCTCAGGGGGAAGGGGGAGGGAAGAGAAATTTTTTGCACAAATGACAGTGTGGATGTGTTACAAGTTAGTATTTAAAATAGTCATTTAATGAAAAAATTATCGCCCTCAGAAAGGCTAGGCTCTAGATTTTACCCGCTATTTTTCATTAAGTTTGGGTTTGCAGGTAGAAAATTACGGAGGAGGTGTGTAAGTGGTAGTTAAAGTATAATTTATCTAACTAATTTTAATCCACCTTCAGTTAAACTGTTTTTTTTTTTAATCTTTACAAATATTGATGATTAGGGCTAACTAACCCTCCCCTCCTTGTAACTAGAGAAAACTTAATATAAAAACTAGCTCAATTTTCTAAAATAAATGTCATTATACTGTAAGTAATAGAGTACAAGTGTTGCATTATTCTGTAAATTAGTCGCTAAAATATTATCCGTTTAAAGTCTGGAATTTTTCCAAAAAAAGTCTGGAATTTCATTTTCTAAAAGTGGTACGAACCCTTTCTAGCCTAATTATATTTTTAAAGGTTCCTATATATGTAATCATCTTCAAGAAATTGTATCAATTCTATGGTTTTCTCTTTTAATGTGTGACTAACCAATTTTCTGCAAGGTTCTGATGAAGATCCACTTCCAAAGGAGAAACCAAAAGGCAGGCAGAGAAAGAAAGAAAACCATACAAATGACTCGGGTAAAAGTTTTATTTAGCACATACGTTGCATGAATACTGACATTTATTATTTTCTTATACACAGAGTATAGAGGAAATATTGTAATCGTGCAAAAAAAAAAAAAAAGATTTGCAGAAATCTCATTGTTTTAGACGGAAGCTGGTCGTTTTCCCAAAAGACACTTGCCTGAATGCCGTTTGCCCGAAGGCCGATTTCCCGAATGGACACTTGCCCGAATTCGACAAATCCCCGAATTTACACTTGCCCATATGCGACAAATGCCTTAAAGCCACTTGCCCGAAGGCAGTGTGCCCAAAAAATGTTAGTATTAGAAAATAAATGTTACCAAATAGACATTATTAATCAATTCAAGTTTGAAATTTTGATAACAAATACATTTCTAAGCATAAAAACAACAATGTTTATATATTTTTTTTAATTAAGCTTTAATTTTTGAGAAAGTGATGTAAAAAAATCTTTTTTCTTTATTAAATATAAGGTGATGTTGGCAGCTGTGTCTTTACACTCTTTTAATAAATGTTTTGAACACCTTGCTTAGCCGACATGTTGCATTGGTTGTATAGCGCTTATGACATGGTGTAGGCGGCGTGGTGTCTCGCATCATTGAACAGAGGTGCGTTTTTGTTGGATTTTTTTTGTTTTGTTTAACATGTGTGGTGATCATTTCACAAAGAACAAGGCATGGTCTAGGTGGCAAATTTAAGAACTAAAGATAGTCAATTATATTTTATCTCCATTTAATGCACCTCGTTTAGACAATGTGTTGAAGCGATTACTGAATAAAGAAAGCAAAATTCATTTTAAAATCCTGAGATAAATGAAAATGGAATTTTTGTCTTGTTTCAAAGATCGGAAAGAAAATATGTTTGTACACTTTTTATATTTTGCAAATACAAATTAATTAAGAATGTCTGTGTTCGGGCAAGTGTCCATTCGGGCATTTGTCACATTTAGGCAAGTGTCCATTCCGGCATTTGTCACATTTGGGCAAGTGTCCATTCGGGCATTTGTCACATTTGGGCAAGTGTCCATTCGGGCATTTGTCACATTTGGGCAAGTGTCCATTCCGGCATTTGTCACATTTGGGCAAGTGTCCATTCGGGCATTTGTCACATTCTTGCAAGTGTCCATTCCGGCATTTGTCACATTTGGGCAAGTGTCCATTCGGGCATTTGTCACATTCTTGCAAGTGTCCATTCCGGCATTTGTCACATTCGGGCAAGTGTCCATTCGGGCATTTGTCACATTTGGGCAAGTGTCCATTCCGGCATTTGTCACATTCTTGCAAGTGTCCATTCTGGCATTTGTCACATTTGGGCAAGTGTCCATTCCGGCATTTGTCACATTCTTGCAAGTGTCCATTCCGGCATTTGTCACATTCGGGCAAGTGTCCATTCGGGCATTTGTCACATTTGGGCAAGTGTCCATTCCGGCATTTGTCACATTCGGGCAAGTGTCCATTCGGGCATTTGTCACATTTGGGCAAGTGTCCATTCCGGCATTTGTCACATTTGGGCAAGTGTCCATTCGGGCATTTGTCACATTTGGGCAAGTGTCCATTCCGGCATTTGTCACATTTGGGCAAGTGTCCATTCCGGCATTTGTCACATTTGGGCAAGTGTCCATTCCGGCATTTGTCACATTTGGGCAAGTGTCCATTCCGGCATTTGTCACATTCGGGCATTTGTCCATTCTGGCATTTGTCACATTTGGGCAAGTGTCCATTCCGGCATTTGTCACATTCGGGCATTTGTCCATTCTGGCATTTGTCACATTTGGGCAAGTGTCCATTCGGGCATTTGTCACATTTGGGCCAGTGTCCATTGGGGTAAACAGCATTTGGGCAAGTGTCTTTCAGGAATTTATCGTAGACTCGTTTTAGACCTCCCTGAGTAGGAAGAACTTATTTTTGCAATCTTGTCTGTGTGTGTGTGTCTCTGAACATGATAACTTGAGTACCATTAAAATTTCATATATAATTATTATATCAAATTTATAGTTCTGTATCAACTTTTTGGCAATTTCTGGTCACCGGAAGTGAAACTTATTCTACTTTTCAATTTTTCAAAAGTCTAGGGTTAGGGTTAGTATAACTTGAGTTCTGTTTCTGATAAATAGATGAAACTTCACATATAAGTAAAAGATCTTATCCTCTGTTTTCTTTCAAATTTTGAGTAATTTCCGGTGACTGGAAATAGTACTTTATGCTATTTAAAAAAATGCATATGATTTTATAAAGTACTAATGTCCTGTAATATCAAAATGTATACCTGCATTGATTGCAGTACAGTTAGTGTGTTATTCTTTTTTCCACAAGATCTATTCTATATTAAAAAGTTCAAGTATTAAAAATTAATTGAAAGGCATGTGCATATCCCCTGTGGTGTATTATAAGAATACGAGCCGACCCGCGACATATCATACGCCGCTATTTAGTTGTTTTTTCTACTTTTCAGTCATTCTTAATTTGTGAATTCGACAGTACCAATGCTGCCACTGAAAATATTTGCTTTAAAACACTAAACCCCCATCTCCCCCCCCCCCCCCCCCCCCCGTGAAAGCAGCCTCCTCTTAATTACCTCCTCTAAGTTTAAAATAGTTTCAAACTGAATTATCTGCCCCTAATAGCCGTCAGCAAACTAAACATTTAGTGTGAACTACAACTCATCTGACCATGTGAAGGGGGTGGGGGGGTGGTAGCGATGGAGAGGAAGAGAGGGGACTGCAAGGCGCGCGCTTGCAGCTTGTTTTCTAACGGCTCCCAGAAGAGAATTATATATATATATAGATTTGAGAAAGTTGAGGGGAGATCACTCTTGCTTTATTTATGGAATACTGTTATGTTTTTTTAATTTGTGACCTTGAATGTTATGAGGTTGTGTTGTGTTAGTTTGTGATTCATGTTGGATAATTTGCTGATGGTTTTTATCTTTGATTAATGTAGACATTGTTGAATGATGAGTCAAGTTTGAAACAATGGGTCTCTCCATGATTTTTAGATGAAGAAAGAAAACTGACAGCTTTGGATAAGTTTGTCATTCACAAGAGAAATGTGAAGGGCTCAGCAGAAGCTCCTGTGAGAACACCTGTGAGTGTTGTTGACTTTTTTGGATCAGGGAATACAAGCAGGTGTCAGCGCACAACGGCCGTGAGCAAGCGTAAACATGGGGATACAGTGGAGAAGGTGGGCAATTTCTTCTACTGCATAGCTCTAATATTTCAAGCACCAATTTCTTCTACTGCATAGCTCTAATATTTGTAAACATCGGGATACATTGGAGAAGGTGGGCAATTTCTTCTACTGCATAGCTCTAATATTTCAAGCACCAATTTCTTATACTGCATAGCTCTAATATTTCAAGCACCAATTTCTTATACTGCATAGCTCTATTATTTCAAGCACCAATTTCTTCTACTGCATAGCTCTAATATTTCAAGCACCAATTTCTTATACTGCATAGCTCTAATATTTCAAGCACCAATTTCTTATACTGCATAGCTCTAATATTTCAAGCACCAATTTCTTCTACTGCATAGCTCTAATATTTCAAGCACCAATTTCTTCTACTGCATAGCTCTAATATTTCAAGCACCAATTTCTTCTACTGCATAGCTCTAATATTTCAAGCACCAATTTCTTATACTGCATAGCTCTAATATTTCAAGCACCAATTTCTTATACTGCATAGCTCTAATATTTCAAGCACCAATTTCTTATACTGCATAGCTCTAATATTTCAAGCACCAATTTCTTCTACTGCATAGCTCTAATATTTGTAAACATGGGGATATAGTGGAGAAGGTGGGCAATTTCTTCTACTGCATAGCTCTACTATTTCGAGCACCAATTTCTTCTACTGCATAGCTCTAATATTTGTAAACATTGGGATACATTGGAGAAGGTGGGCAATTTCTTCTACTGCATAGCTCTAATATTTGTAAGCATCGGGATACATTGGAGAAGGTGGGCAATTTCTTATACTGCATAGCTCTAATATTTGTAAACATGGGGATACAGTGGAGAAGGTGGGCAATTTCTTCTACTGCATAGCTCTAATATTTGTAAGCATCGGGATACATTGGAGAAGGTGGGCAATTTCTTCTACTGCATAGCTCTAATATTTCAAGCACCAATTTCTTCTACTGCATAGCTCTAATATTTCAAGCACCAATTTCTTATACTGCATAGCTCTAATATTTCAAGCACCAATTTCTTCTACTGCATAGCTCTAATATTTCAAGCACCAATTTCTTCTACTGCATAGCTCTAATATTTGTAAACATGGGGATACAACGGAGAAGGTGGGCAATTTCTTATGGGGATACAGTGTAGAAGGTGGGCAATTTCTTCTACTGCATAGCTCTAATATTTCAAGCACCAATTTCTTCTACTGCATAGCTCTCATATTTCAAGCACCAATTTCTTATACTGCATAGTTCTATTATTTCAAGCACCAATTTCTTATACTGCATAGCTCTAATATTTGTAAACATGGGGATACAGTGGAGAAGGTGGGCAATTTCTTCTACTGCATAGCTCTATTATTTCAAGCACCAATTTCTTATACTGCATAGCTCTATTATTTGTAAACATGGGGATACAGTGGAGAAGGTGGGCCATTTCTTCTACTGCATAGCTCTGTTATTTCAAGCACCAATTTCTTATACTGCATAGCTCTATTATTTCAAGCACCAATTTCTTATACTGCATAGCTCTATTATTTCAAGCACCAATTTCTTATACTGCATAGCTCTAATATTTCAAGCACCAATTTCTTATACTGCATAGCTCTAATATTTCAAGCACCAATTTCTTATACTGCATAGCTCTATTATTTCAAGCACCAATTTCTTATACTGCATAGCTCTATTATTTCAAGCACCAATTTCTTATACTGCATAGCTCTAATATTTCAAGCACCAATTTCTTCTACTGCATAGCTCTAATATTTCAAGCACCAATTTCTTATACTGCATAGCTCTAATATTTCAAGCACCAATTTCTTATACTGCATAGCTCTAATATTTCAAGCACCAATTTCTTATACTGCATAGCTCTAATATTTCAAGCACCAAGTTCTTATACTGCATAGCTCTAATATTTCAAGCACCAATTTCTTATACTGCATAGCTCTATTATTTCAAGCACCAATTTCTTATACTGCATAGCTCTAATATTTCAAGCACCAATTTCTTATACTGCATAGCTCTATTATTTCAAGCACCAATTTCTTATACTGCATAGCTCTATTATTTCAAGCACCAATTTCTTCTACTGCATAGCTCTAATATTTCAAGCACCAATTTCTTATACTGCATAGCTCTAATATTTCAAGCACCAATTTCTTACACTGCATAGCTCTAATATTTCAAGCACCAATTTCTTATACTGCATAGCTCTATTATTTCAAGCACCAATTTAATATACTGCATAGCTCTATTATTTCAAGCACCAATTTCTTATACTGCATAGCTCTAATATTTCAAGCACCAATTTCTTATAATGCATAGCTCTATTATTTCAAGCACCAATTTCTTATACTGCATAGCTCTATTATTTCAAGCACCAATTTGTTATACTGCATAGCTCTATTATTTCAAGCACCAATTTCTTCTACTGCATAGCTCTAATATTTCAAGCACCAATTTCTTATACTGCATAGCTCTATTATTTCAAGCACCAATTTCTTATACTGCATAGCTCTATTATTTCAAGCACCAATTTCTTATACTGCATAGCTCTAATATTTGTAAACATGGGGATACAGCGGAGAAGGTGGGCAATTTCTTATTGGGATACAGTGGAGAAGGTGGGCAATTTCTTCTACTGCATAGCTCTAATATTTCAAGCACCAATTTCTTCTACTGCATAGCTCTAATATTTCAAGCACCAATTTCTTCTACTGCATAGCTCTATTATTTCAAGCACCAATTTCTTATACTGCATTCTATATTATAGTTTCGCTGTCTGTCTATCTATCTATCTGACAAGAACGCTCTAGAGAAAACACAAGCAAAATAAAAACATGCACAGTAATTCAAAAAACGAAGTATGACGCGGTCACATTTAGCTTAGAGCAAGCCGAGAGTGTACGCAATTGTATGACGTCATTGATTTTCGAGTAAACATTGAATAAAAAGGAAATTTTGTCTAATCTAGGTGGTTTGCGTGAAGATTTTCTTTTATACAATTCTTTCATACAATTCTTCGGGTAGGGGCGAAGCCCCACCCCCGCGTAAAAACGTCTGAGGCCCCCCCCCCCCCCCCCCCGCCCGCCCCAACTCAAAAGAAATGTCGTAATCGATACTCTATAATAAAATTATCGCCTAATTAAGGTGTCTAATCTAAAAAGTGGTTTTCTTGCAATTTCTTTAATGCAATTCTTCGGGTAGTGGCTAAGCGCGACACCAGTGTTTCTTTCAGACTTTTTCCTCCCCGGAGAGGGGTGGGGGTAATTGAAATTTTCGGGGGCGGGGGTAGAATTTTCGGGGAGGGGGGCGGACACTGGAAAAAGTATATAATTATATTTCATTGAATAAGACGGTAGACATGTTTTTTTTGGGGGTGGGGGGGGGGGGTGGTTTCCTCATCGATACTCTATAATAAAATTACCGCCTAATTAATGTGTCTAATCTAAAAAGTGGTTTTCTTGCAATTTCTTTAATGCAATTCTTCGCGTAGTGGCTAAGCGCGACACCAGTGTTTCTTTCAGACTTTTTCCTCCCCGGAGAGGGGTGGGGGTACTTGAAATTTTCGGGGGCGGGGGTAGAATTTTCGGGGAGGGGGCGGACACTGGAAAAAGTATATAATTATATTTCGTTGAATGGGACGGTAGACATGTTTTTTTGGGGGGTGGGGGGGGGGGGGGTTAGTTTAGAGAAAAGAGACAGCACTATTAACCTAGCGCCCGGTGTATCCTTCCTCAAATGGCCATTTTTCTCGTAGCTCTAATATTTGTAAACATGGGGATACAGCGGAGAAGGTGGGCAATTTCTTCTACTGCATAGCTCTATTATTTCAAGCACCAATTTCTTATACTGCATAGCTCTATTATTTCAAGCACCAATTTCTTATACTGCATAGCTCTAATATTTCAAGCACCAATTTCTTATACTGCATAGCTCTATTATTTCAAGCACCAATTTCTTATACTGCATAGCTCTAATATTTCAAGCACCAATTTCTTCTACTGCATAGCTCTAATATTTCAAGCACCAATTTCTTCTACTGCATAGCTCTAATATTTCAAGCACCAATTTCTTCTACTGCATAGCTCTAATATTTCAAGCACCAATTTCTTATACTGCATAGCTCTAATATTTCAAGCACCAATTTCTTATACTGCATAGCTCTATTATTTCAAGCACCAATTTCTTATACTGCATAGCTCTAATATTTCAAGCACCAATTTCTTATACTGCATAGCTCTATTATTTCAAGCACCAATTTCTTCTACTGCATAGCTCTAATATTTCAAGCACCAATTTCTTCTACTGCATAGCTCTAATATTTCAAGCACCAATTTCTTCTACGGCATAGCTCTAATATTTCAAGCACCAATTTCTTATACTGCATAGCTCTATTATTTCAAGCACCAATTTCTTATACTGCATAGCTCTTATATTTCAAGCACCAATTTCTTCTACTGCATAGCTCTAATATTTCAAGCACCAATTTCTTATACTGCATAGCTCTAATATTTCAAGCACCAATTTCTTCTACTGCATAGCTCTAATATTTCAAGCACCAATTTCTTCTACTGCATAGCTCTTATATTTCAAGCACCAATTTCTTCTACTGCATAGCTCTATTATTTCAAGCACCAATTTCTTATACTGCATAGCTCTAATATTCCAAGCACCAATTTCTTATACTGCATAGCTCTAATATTTCAAGCACCAATTTCTTATACTGCATAGGTCTAATATTTCAAGCACCAATTTCTTATACTGCATAGCTCTAATATTTCAAGCACCAATTTCTTATAATGCATAGCTCTATTATTTCAAGCACCAATTTCTTATAATGCATAGCTCTATTATTTCAAGCACCAATTTCTTATACTGCATAGCTCTATTATTTCAAGCACTCATTTGCAGTGGTCTGTGCCACCCAACTTTTTTTATGCTATTAAATTCATTTGACAACTAGAGCCTTTTTCAGGGTCATGAAATAAACGAGTATCTCAAATTTTAACTGTAAAGTTTTTAAAAAAAAGTTTTGGTAGTTTTCATGGCTCAGAAGTGCAAATACCAGATGGGTTTAAGAAAGCCAGAATTCATTCATTTCACACTTTTATTCCCATCCATCTTTTGTCTGGAATATTTTGTCTTTGAGATAATTTACTGGGATGATCAAGTAGACTTGACATTTTGTTTTCTAGGATGATCAAGTAGACTTGACATTTGATGAGGAATGTCATGATGATGAGGATTTTCTAAAGACACTCGACCAGTTAGATGGACCAAATGTTAAAAAAGTTAGTCGATATCAGTTATGGTCAGTTAAAATAGTTAGATGGACCACTAGCTACAACAGTTTAAAAATTATTTGAATCTTCTCTCAATCCATTGTGTAAAAACAAATGCCTTGGTTGTGCAGGTCAAAGTTGAAGAAGAAAACCCAGCACTAGCCACAGAAACCTGTAAGTAGTTTGTTCTAGACTAACAGAACTGTTCCTCAAGTAGTTTGTCTATAACTTCTATTTCATAGGGAAAAAAAAGTAGTAAAATTGTTTTCATTGCAAGCTTTTATATTATCATCTTTATCCTTCAAAAAATAGATAATAAATTATTTTCTTAATAATCACTGTTTAAAAAGCTATGCAGAAAGCATTTGTCGCTTCTAACATTATTGTAAAGGTATTCAATAGATAATATAGTAACCCATGTTTTTTATAGTTTTCTTTGTAGTGCAGCTTTTGACGCACCGTTTGGTCAGTTGGGTGCACCGTCTGGTCAGTTTGATGCACCGTTTGGTCACTTTGGTGCACCGTCTGGTCAGTTTGATGCAATCTGGTCAGTTTGGTGCACCGTTTGGTCACTTTGGTGCACTGTCTGGTCAGTTTGGTGCACCGTTTAGTCACTTTGGTGCACTGTCAGGTCACTTTGGTGCACCATCTGGTCACTTTGGTGCAAGTTCGGGTCAGTTTGGTGCAACGTTTAGTCACTTTGGTGCACTCTCTGGTCAGTTTGGTGCACCATCTGGTCACTTTGGTGCAAGTTCGGGTCAGTTTGGTGCACTCTCTGGTCAGTTTGGTGCACAGTCAGGTCACTTTGGTGCACCGTCAGGTCGCTTTGGTGCACTGTCTGGAGAGCCTTGTTTAGATTTTATTTAGCAAGTCTTGCTGACAAACTTTTATTTAGCAAGTCTTGCTGACAAACTTTTATTTAGCAAGTCTTGCTGACAAACTTTTATTTAGCAAGTCTTGCTGACAAACTTTTATTCAGCAAGTCTTGCTGACAAACTTTTATTTAGCAAGTCTTGCTGACAAACTTTTATTTAGCAAGTCTTGCTGACAAATATTTAGCAAGTCTTGCTGACAAACTTTTATTTAGCAAGTCTTGCTGACAAACTTTTATTTAGCAAGTCTTGCTGACAAACTTTTATTTAGCAAGTCTTGCTGACAAACTTTTATTTAGCAAGTCTTGCTGACAAACTTTTATTTAGCAAGTCTTGCTGACAAACTTTTATTTAGCAAGTCTTGCTGACAAACTGGCAAGCAAGATCAAACAAAGGGAAGAGCATTGCGTGGCAAATTTAAAGGAAGAAACACAGCCAGCAAGGGAACATTTAAAAACAGTAAGTACTTACAGCTTGTGCTTGTGATTTCAGCCTTGAACTTCCAACTTTACAGGCGTATCTTTTTTTTTACCTGAACTTCCAACTTTACAGGCATATCTTTTTTTTTACCTGAACTTCCAACTTTACAGGCATATCTTTTTTTTTACCTGAACTTTCAACTTTACAGGCGTATCTTTTTTTTTACCTGAACTTCCAACTTTACAGGCGTATCTTTTTTTTTACCTGAACTTTCAACTTTACAGGCATATCTTTTTTTTTACCTGAACTTCCAACTTTACAGGCATATCTTTTTTTTACCTGAACTTCCAACTTTACAGGCGTATCTTTTTTTTTACCTGAACTTCCAACTTTACAGGCGTATCTTTTTTTTTACCTGAACTTCCAACTTTACAGGCGTATCTTTTTTTTTACCTGAACTTTCAACTTTACAGGCATATCTTTTTTTTTACCTGAACTTCCAACTTTACAGGCATATCTTTTTTTTTACCTGAACTTTCAACTTTACACACGTATCTTTTTTTTTACCTGAACTTCCAACTTTACAGGCGTATCTTTTTTTTTACCTGAACTTTCAACTTTACAGGCATATCTTTTTTTTTACCTGAACTTCCAACTTTACAGGCATATCTTTTTTTTACCTGAACTTCCAACTTTACAGGCGTATCATTTTTTTTACCTGAACTTCCAACTTTACAGGCGTATCTTTTTTTTTACCTGAACTTCCAACTTTACAGGCGTATCTTTTTTTTTACCTGAACTTTCAACTTTACAGGCATATCTTTTTTTTTACCTGAACTTCCAACTTTACAGGCATATCTTTTTTTTACCTGAACTTTCAACTTTACAGGCGTATCTTTTTTTTTACCTGAACTTCCAACTTTACAGGCATATCTTTTTTTTTACCTGAACTTTCAACTTTACAGGCATATCTTTTTTTTTACCTGAACTTCCAACTTTACAGGCATATCTTTTTTTTTACCTGAACTTCCAACTTTACAGGCATATCTTTTTTTTTTACCTGAACTTCCAACTTTACAGGCATATCTTTTTTTTTACCTGAACTTCCAACTTTACAGGCATATCTTTTTTTTTACCTGAACTTCCAACTTTACAGGCATATCTTTTTTTTTTACCTGAACTTCCAACTTACCCTTAGACTTAGGGTTATAGTTTTGTCTATTTTAATTAGGGTTCTGGTAAGAAAAAGGTAAGCAAAAAAGAAAAGATTTACACCATGGAGGTAACCAAACCAGCTGACAAGGTCAAGGTTGAATCACCACCACAAGATGAGATCAAATTGACACCAGACACCAAACATCTGAAAATTCTAGCAACAACAAAGAGCCCTACAGAGTCAGCTGATCTAGATGAAGTAAGGCACCAACTTAATCTCTTTATTTTAAAACAGAAATATTTGATCACAAATTTAACATGGACATTTAAAGCCCAACTGTCACATGGACATTTAAAATCCACATGTCACATAGACATTTAAAGCCCAACTTTTCCAATGACAACATCTTGTATTACAGAGTGGCTTTGGGAGAAAAGGAATCTCAGGATTTCAAGCATTCAAAGCCAGGTCAGGACCAGCAGCCCTAGGCTCTAAAGACATCCCAGAGGTGAGTTTCTCATGCATGGCTAGCATAGCTCACTCTCACCAATCCCTATCCCAGAGGTGTGTTTCTCATGCATGGCTAGCATAGCTCACTCTCACCAATCCCTATCCCAGAGGTGTGTTTCTCATGCATGGCTAGCATAGCTCACTCTCACCAATCCCTAACCCAGAGGTGTGTTTCTCATGCATGGCTAGCATAGCTCACTCTCACCAATCCCTATCCCAGAGGTGTGTTTCTCATGCATGGCTAGCATAGCTCACTCTCACCAATCCCTATCCCGGAGGTGTGTTTCTCATGCATGGCTAGCATAGCTCACTCTCACCAATCCCTATCCCAGAGGTGTGTTTCTCATGCATGGCTAGCATAGCTCACTCTCACCAATCCCTATCCCGGAGGTGTGTTTCTCATGCATGGCTAGCATAGCTCACTCTCACCAATCCCTATCCCAGAGGTGAGTTTCTCATGCATGGCTAGCATAGCTCACTCTCACCAATCCCTAACCCTATCCCAGAGGTGTGTTTCTCATGCATGGCTAGCATAGCTCACTCTCACCAATCCCTAACCCTATCCCAGAGGTGTGTTTCTCATGCATGGCTAGCATAGCTCACTCTCACCAATCCCTATCCCAGAGGTGTGTTTCTCATGCATGGCTAGCATAGCTCACTCTCACAAATCCCTAACCCTATCCCAGAGGTGTGTTTCTCATGCATGGCTAGCATAGCTCACTCTCACCAATCCCTATCCCAGAGGTGTGTTTCTCATGCATGGCTAGCATAGCTCACTCTTAGCATTCAGGTCTATTGGCACACAATCAGTCCATTGCTTTCATTTGATTCATGTCTTATGTCAGCTGTAAGAAAACCATTTGTCTTCATTGAAGGGAGCTGAGAATTGTCTAGAAGGCTTGACCTTTGTTATCACTGGAGTCTTGGACTCCATTGAAAGAGATGAAGCCAAGTCGCTGATAGAGAGGCATGGAGGAAAGGTGACAGCTAGCATCAGTGGCAGGACCAGCTTTCTTGTTGTAGGCAGGGAGCCAGGTCAGAGTAAAATAACAAAGGTAAGTTTACAATTGGTCAAGCTTTTGAATTGGTGGTGGTCAAACTTTTGTGTTGCTGGTGGTCACACTTTTGTGTTGCTGGTGGTCAAACTTTTGTGTTGCTGGTGGTCAAACTTTTGTGTTGCTGGTGGTCAAACTTTTGTGTTGCTGGTTAAACTTTTGTGTTGCTGGTGGTCAAACTTTTGTGTTGCTGGTGGTCAAACTTTTGTGTTGCTGGTCAAACTTTTGTGTTGCTGGTCAAGCTTTTGTGTTGCTGGTCAAACTTTTGTGTTGCTGGTGGTCAAACTTTTGTGTTGCTGGTGGTCAAACTTTTGTGTTGCTGGTCAAACTTTTGTGTTGCTGGTCAAGCTTTTGTGTTGCTGGTCAAACTTTTGTGTTGCTGGTGGTCAAACTTTTGTGTTGCTGGTCAAACTTTTGTGTTGCTGGTGGTCAAACTTTTGTGTTGCTGGTGGTCAAACTTTTGTGTTGCTGGTCAAGCTTTTGTGTTGCTGGTGGCCAAACTTTTGAGTTGGTGGTGGTTAATCTTTTGAGTTGGTGGTGGTTAATCTTTTGAGTTGGTGGTTAAACTTTTGAGTTGGTGGTTGAACTTTTGTGTTGCTGGTCAAACTTTTGTGTTGGTGGTGGTCAAACTTTTGAGTTGCTGGTCAAACTTTTGAGTTGCTGGTGGTCAAACTTTTGAGTTGGTGGTGGTCAAACTTTTGTGTTGCTGGTGGTCAAACTTTTGTGTTGCTGGTGGTCAAACTTTTGTGTTGGTGGTCAAACTTTTGTGTTGCTGGTGGTCAAACTTTTGTGTTGGTGGTCAAACTTTTGTGTTGCTGGTCAAACTTTTGTGTTGCTGGTGGTCAAACTTTTGTGTTGCTGGTGGTCAAACTTTTGTGTTGCTGGTGGTCAAACTTTTGTGTTGCTGGTCAAACTTTTGTGTTGCTGGTGGTCAAACTTTTGTGTTGCTGGTGGTCAAACTTTTGTGTTGCTGGTGGTCAAACTTTTGTGTTGCTGGTCAAACTTTTGTGTTGCTGGTGGTCAAACTTTTGTGTTGCTGGTGGTCAAACTTTTGTGTTGCTGGTCAAACTTTTGTGTTGCTGGTGGTCAAACTTTTGTGTTGCTGGTGGTCAAACTTTTGTGTTGCTGGTGGTCAAACTTTTGTGTTGCTGGTCAAGCTTTTGTGTTGCTGGTGGCCAAACTTTTGAGTTGGTGGTGGTTAATCTTTTGAGTTGGTGGTGGTTAATCTTTTGAGTTGGTGGTTAAACTTTTGAGTTGGTGGTTGAACTTTTGTGTTGCTGGTCAAACTTTTGTGTTGGTGGTGGTCAAACTTTTGAGTTGCTGGTCAAACTTTTGAGTTGCTGGTGGTCAAACTTTTGAGTTGCTGGTGGTCAAACTTTTGTGTTGCTGGTGGTCAAACTTTTGTGTTGCTGGTGGTCAAACTTTTGAGTTGCTGGTGGTCAAACTTTTGTGTTGCTGGTGGTCAAACTTTTGTGTTGCTGGTGGTCAAACTTTTGAGTTGCTGGTGGTCAAACTTTTGTGTTGCTGGTCAAACTTTTGTGTTGCTGGTGGTCAAACTTTTGTGTTGCTGGTGGTCAAACTTTTGTGTTGCTGGTGGTCAAACTTTTGTGTTGGTGGTGGTCAAACTTTTGTGTTGCTGGTGGTCAAACTTTTGTGTTGCTGGTGGTTAAACTTTTGTGTTGCTGGTGGTCAAACTTTTGTGTTGCTGGTCAAACTTTTGTGTTGCTGGTGGTCAAACTTTTGTGTTGCTGGTGGTCAAACTTTTGTGTTGCTGGTGGTCAAACTTTTGTGTTGCTGGTGGTCAAACTTTTGTGTTGCTGGTCAAACTTTTGTGTTGCTGGTGGTCAAACTTTTGTGTTGCTGGTGGTCAAACTTTTGTGTTGCTGGTGGTCAAACTTTTGTGTTGCTGGTCAAACTTTTGTGTTGCTGGTGGTCAAACTTTTGTGTTGCTGGTGGTCAAACTTTTGTGTTGCTGGTCAAACTTTTGTGTTGCTGGTGGTCAAACTTTTGTGTTGCTTGTCAAACTTTTGTGTTGCTGGTGGTCAAACTTTTGTGTTGCTGGTGGTCAAACTTTTGTGTTGCTGGTGGTCAAACTTTTGTGTTGCTGGTCAAACTTTTGTGTTGCTGGTCAAACTTTTGTGTTGCTGGTCAAACTTTTGTGTTGGTGGTGGTCAAACTTTTGTGTTGCTGGTCAAACTTTTGTGTTGCTGGTGGTCAAACTTTTGTGTTGCTGGTGGTCAAACTTTTGTGTTGCTGGTGGTCAAACTTTTGTGTTGCTGGTGGTCAAACTTTTGTGTTGCTGGTGGTCAAACTTTTGTGTTGGTGGTCAAACTTTTGTGTTGGTGGTGGTCAAACTTTTGTGTTGCTGGTCAAACTTTTGTGTTGCTGGTGGTCAAACTTTTGTGTTGCTGGTGGTCAAACTTTTGTGTTGCTGGTCAAACTTTTGTGTTGCTGGTGGTCAAACTTTTGTGTTGCTGGTGGTCAAACTTTTGTGTTGGTGGTCAAACTTTTGTGTTGCTGGTGGTCAAACTTTTGTGTTGGTGGTCAAACTTTTGTGTTGCTGGTCAAACTTTTGTGTTGCTGGTGGTCAAACTTTTGTGTTGCTGGTGGTCAAACTTTTGTGTTGCTGGTGGTCAAACTTTTGTGTTGCTGGTCAAACTTTTGTGTTGCTGGTGGTCAAACTTTTGTGTTGCTGGTGGTCAAACTTTTGTGTTGCTGGTGGTCAAACTTTTGTGTTGCTGGTCAAACTTTTGTGTTGCTGGTGGTCAAACTTTTGTGTTGCTGGTGGTCAAACTTTTGTGTTGCTGGTCAAACTTTTGTGTTGCTGGTGGTCAAACTTTTGTGTTGCTGGTGGTCAAACTTTTGTGTTGCTGGTGGTCAAACTTTTGTGTTGCTGGTGGTCAAACTTTTGTGTTGCTGGTCAAACTTTTGTGTTGCTGGTCAAACTTTTGTGTTGCTGGTGGTCAAACTTTTGTGTTGCTGGTGGTCAAACTTTTGTGTTGCTGGTCAAACTTTTGTGTTGCTGGTCAAGCTTTTGTGTTGCTGGTCAAACTTTTGTGTTGCTGGTGGTCAAACTTTTGTGTTGCTGGTCAAACTTTTGTGTTGCTGGTGGTCAAACTTTTGTGTTGCTGGTGGTCAAACTTTTGTGTTGCTGGTCAAGCTTTTGTGTTGCTGGTGGCCAAACTTTTGAGTTGGTGGTGGTTAATCTTTTGAGTTGGTGGTGGTTAATCTTTTGAGTTGGTGGTTAAACTTTTGAGTTGGTGGTTGAACTTTTGTGTTGCTGGTCAAACTTTTGTGTTGGTGGTGGTCAAACTTTTGAGTTGCTGGTCAAACTTTTGAGTTGCTGGTGGTCAAACTTTTGAGTTGCTGGTGGTCAAACTTTTGTGTTGCTGGTGGTCAAACTTTTGTGTTGCTGGTGGTCAAACTTTTGAGTTGCTGGTGGTCAAACTTTTGTGTTGCTGGTGGTCAAACTTTTGTGTTGCTGGTGGTCAAACTTTTGAGTTGCTGGTGGTCAAACTTTTGTGTTGCTGGTCAAACTTTTGTGTTGCTGGTGGTCAAACTTTTGTGTTGCTGGTGGTCAAACTTTTGTGTTGCTGGTGGTCAAACTTTTGTGTTGGTGGTGGTCAAACTTTTGTGTTGCTGGTGGTCAAACTTTTGTGTTGCTGGTGGTTAAACTTTTGTGTTGCTGGTGGTCAAACTTTTGTGTTGCTGGTCAAACTTTTGTGTTGCTGGTGGTCAAACTTTTGTGTTGCTGGTGGTCAAACTTTTGTGTTGCTGGTGGTCAAACTTTTGTGTTGCTGGTGGTCAAACTTTTGTGTTGCTGGTCAAACTTTTGTGTTGCTGGTGGTCAAACTTTTGTGTTGCTGGTGGTCAAACTTTTGTGTTGCTGGTGGTCAAACTTTTGTGTTGCTGGTCAAACTTTTGTGTTGCTGGTGGTCAAACTTTTGTGTTGCTGGTGGTCAAACTTTTGTGTTGCTGGTCAAACTTTTGTGTTGCTGGTGGTCAAACTTTTGTGTTGCTTGTCAAACTTTTGTGTTGCTGGTGGTCAAACTTTTGTGTTGCTGGTGGTCAAACTTTTGTGTTGCTGGTGGTCAAACTTTTGTGTTGCTGGTCAAACTTTTGTGTTGCTGGTCAAACTTTTGTGTTGCTGGTCAAACTTTTGTGTTGGTGGTGGTCAAACTTTTGTGTTGCTGGTCAAACTTTTGTGTTGCTGGTGGTCAAACTTTTGTGTTGCTGGTGGTCAAACTTTTGTGTTGCTGGTGGTCAAACTTTTGTGTTGCTGGTCAAACTTTTGTGTTGCTGGTCAAACTTTTGTGTTGCTGGTGGTCAAACTTTTGTGTTGCTGGTGGTCAAACTTTTGTGTTGCTGGTGGTCAAACTTTTGTGTTGCTGGTGGTCAAACTTTTGTGTTGCTGGTGGTCAAACTTTTGTGTTGCTGGTCAAACTTTTGTGTTGCTGGTGGTCAAACTTTTGTGTTGCTGGTGGTCAAACTTTTGTGTTGCTGGTGGTCAAACTTTTGTGTTGCTGGTGGTCAAACTTTTGTGTTGCTGGTCAAACTTTTGTGTTGCTGGTGGTCAAACTTTTGTGTTGCTGGTGGTCAAACTTTTGTGTTGCTGGTCAAACTTTTGTGTTGCTGGTGGTCAAACTTTTGTGTTGCTGGTCAAACTTTTGTGTTGCTGGTGGTCAAACTTTTGTGTTGCTGGTGGTCAAACTTTTGTGTTGCTGGTCAAACTTTTGTGTTGGTGGTGGTCAAACTTTTGTGTTGCTGGTCAAACTTTTGTGTTGCTGGTCAAACTTTTGTGTTGCTGGTCAAACTTTTGTGTTGCTGGTCAAACTTTTGTGTTGCTGGTGGTCAAACTTTTGTGTTGCTGGTGGTCAAACTTTTGTGTTGCTGGTCAAACTTTTGTGTTGCTGGTCAAACTTTTGTGTTGCTGGTGGTCAAACTTTTGTGTTGCTGGTCAAACTTTTGTGTTGCTGGTGGTCAAACTTTTGTGTTGCTGGTGGTCAAACTTTTGTGTTGCTGGTGGTCAAACTTTTGTGTTGCTGGTCAAACTTTTGTGTTGCTGGTGGTCAAACTTTTGTGTTGCTGGTGGTCAAACTTTTGTGTTGCTGGTGGTCAAACTTTTGTGTTGCTGGTGGTCAAACTTTTGTGTTGCTGGTGGTCAAACTTTTGTGTTGCTGGTGGTCAAACTTTTGTGTTGCTGGTGGTCAAACTTTTGTGTTGCTGGTGGTCAAACTTTTGTGTTGCTGGTCAAACTTTTGTGTTGCTGGTGGTCAAACTTTTGTGTTGCTGGTGGTCAAACTTTTGTGTTGCTGGTGGTCAAACTTTTGTGTTGCTGGTCAAACTTTTGTGTTGCTGGTGGTCAAACTTTTGTGTTGCTGGTGGTCAAACTTTTGTGTTGCTGGTGGTCAAACTTTTGTGTTGCTGGTCAAACTTTTGTGTTGCTGGTGGTCAAACTTTTGTGTTGCTGGTGGTCAAACTTTTGTGTTGCTGGTGGTCAAACTTTTGTGTTGCTGGTGGTCAAACTTTTGTGTTGCTGGTCAAACTTTTGTGTTGCTGGTCAAACTTTTGTGTTGCTGGTGGTCAAACTTTTGTGTTGCTGGTGGTCAAACTTTTGTGTTGCTGGTCAAACTTTTGTGTTGCTGGTGGTCAAACTTTTGTGTTGCTGGTCAAACTTTTGTGTTGCTGGTGGTCAAACTTTTGTGTTGCTGGTCAAACTTTTGTGTTGCTGGTGGTCAAACTTTTGTGTTGCTGGTGGTCAAACTTTTGTGTTGCTGGTGGTCAAACTTTTGTGTTGCTGGTGGTCAAACTTTTGTGTTGCTGGTGGTCAAACTTTTGAGTTGGTGGTGGTCAAACTTTTGTGTTGCTGGTGGTCAAACTTTTGTGTTGGTGGTTAAACTTTTGTGTTGCTGGTGGTCAAACTTTTGTGTTGCTGGTGGTCAAACTTTTGAGTTGGTGGTGGTCAAACTTTTGAGTTGCTGGTGGTCAAACTTTTGTGTTGCTGGTGGTCAAACTTTTGTGTTGCTGGTGGTCAAACTTTTGAGTTGGTGGTGGTCAAACTTTTGTGTTGCTGGTGGTCAAACTTTTGTGTTGGTGGTTAAACTTTTGTGTTGCTGGTGGTCAAACTTTTGTGTTGCTGGTGGTCAAACTTTTGAGTTGGTGGTGGTCAAACTTTTGAGTTGCTGGTGGTCAAACTTTTGTGTTGCTGGTGGTCAAACTTTTGTGTTGCTGGTCAAACTTTTGTGTTGCTGGTCAAACTTTTGTGTTGCTGGTGGTCAAACTTTTGTGTTGCTGGTGGTCAAACTTTTGTGTTGCTGGTCAAACTTTTGTGTTGCTGGTCAAACTTTTGTGTTGCTGGTGGTCAAACTTTTGTGTTGCTGGTGGTCAAACTTTTGAGTTGCTGGTGGTCAAACTTTTGTGTTGCTGGTCAAACTTTTGTGTTGCTGGTCAAACTTTTGTGTTGCTGGTCAAACTTTTGTGTTGCTGGTGGTCAAACTTTTGTGTTGCTGGTGGTCAAACTTTTGTGTTGGTGGTTAAACTTTTGTGTTGCTGGTGGTCAAACTTTTGAGTTGCTGGTGGTCAAACTTTTGAGTTGGTGGTGGTCAAACTTTTGAGTTGCTGGTGGTCAAACTTTTGTGTTGCTGGTGGTCAAACTTTTGTGTTGCTGGTGGTCAAACTTTTGTGTTGCTGGTGGTCAAACTTTTGTGTTGCTGGTCAAACTTTTGTGTTGCTGGTGGTCGAACTTTTGTGTTGCTGGTGGTTGAACTTTTGTGTTGCTGGTGGTCAAACTTTTGTGTTGCTGGTGGTTAAACTTTTGTGTTGCTGGTGGTCAAACTTTTGTGTTGCTGGTCAAACTTTTGTGTTGCTGGTGGTCAAACTTTTGTGTTGCTGGTGGTCAAACTTTTGTGTTGCTGGTGGTCAAACTTTTGTGTTGCTGGTGGTCAAACTTTTGAGTTGGTGGTGGTCAAACTTTTGTGTTGCTGGTGGTCAAACTTTTGTGTTGGTGGTTAAACTTTTGTGTTGCTGGTGGTCAAACTTTTGTGTTGCTGGTGGTCAAACTTTTGAGTTGGTGGTGGTCAAACTTTTGTGTTGCTGGTGGTCAAACTTTTGTGTTGCTGGTGGTCAAACTTTTGTGTTGCTGGTCAAACTTTTGTGTTGGTGGTGGTCAAACTTTTGTGTTGCTGGTGGTCAAACTTTTGTGTTGCTGGTCAAACTTTTGTGTTGCTGGTGGTCAAACTTTTGTGTTGCTGGTGGTCAAACTTTTGTGTTGCTGGTCAAACTTTTGTGTTGCTGGTTAAACTTTTGTGTTGCTGGTGGTCAAACTTTTGTGTTGCTGGTGGTCAAACTTTTGTGTTGCTGGTGGTCAAACTTTTGTGTTGCTGGTGGTTAAACTTTTGTGTTGCTGGTCAAACTTTTGTGTTGCTGGTGGTCAAACTTTTGAGTTGCTGGTGGTCAAACTTTTGAGTTGCTGGTGGTCAAACTTTTGTGTTGCTGGTGGTCAAACTTTTGTGTTGCTGGTGGTCAAACTTTTGAGTTGCTGGTGGTCAAACTTTTGTGTTGCTGGTGGTCAAACTTTTGTGTTGCTGGTCAAACTTTTGTGTTGCTGGTGGTCAAACTTTTGAGTTGCTGGTGGTCAAACTTTTGTGTTGCTGGTGGTCAAACTTTTGTGTTGCTGGTGGTCAAACTTTTGTGTTGCTGGTCAAACTTTTGTGTTGCTGGTGGTCAAACTTTTGTGTTGCTGGTCAAACTTTTGTGTTGCTGGTGGTCAAACTTTTGAGTTGCTGGTTAAACTTTTGTGTTGCTGGTGGTCAAACTTTTGTGTTGCTGGTGGTCAAACTTTTGAGTTGCTGGTCAAACTTTTGTGTTGCTGGTGGTCAAACTTTTGAGTTGCTGGTTAAACTTTTGTGTTGCTGGTGGTCAAACTTTTGTGTTGCTGGTTAAACTTTTGTGTTGCTGGTCAAACTTTTGTGTTGCTGGTGGTCAAACTTTTGTGTTGCTGGTGGTCAAACTTTTGTGTTGCTGGTGGTCAAACTTTTGTGTTGCTGGTGGTCAAACTTTTGTGTTGCTGGTGGTCAAACTTTTGTGTTGCTGGTCAAACTTTTGTGTTGCTGGTCAAACTTTTGTGTTGCTGGTGGTCAAACTTTTGTGTTGCTGGTGGTCAAACTTTTGTGTTGCTGGTGGTCAAACTTTTGTGTTGGTGGTTAAACTTTTGTGTTGCTGGTGGTCAAACTTTTGAGTTGCTGGTGGTCAAACTTTTGAGTTGCTGGTCAAACTTTTGAGTTGCTGGTGGTCAAACTTTTGTGTTGCTGGTGGTCAAACTTTTGTGTTGCTGGTGGTCAAACTTTTGTGTTGCTGGTGGTCAAACTTTTGTGTTGCTGGTGGTCAAACTTTTGTGTTGCTGGTGGTCAAACTTTTGTGTTGCTGGTGGTCAAACTTTTGAGTTGCTGGTTAAACTTTTGTGTTGCTGGTGGTCAAACTTTTGTGTTGCTGGTGGTCAAACTTTTGAGTTGCTGGTTAAACTTTTGTGTTGCTGGTGGTCAAACTTTTGTGTTGCTGGTGGTCAAACTTTTGAGTTGCTGGTGGTTAAACTTTTGTGTTGGTGGTCAAACTTTTGAGTTGCTGGTCAAACTTTTGTGTTGCTGGTGGTCAAACTTTTGTGTTGCTGGTGGTCAAACTTTTGTGTTGCTGGTGGTTAAACTTTTGAGTTGCTGGTTAAACTTTTGAGTTGCTGGTTAAACTTTTGAGTTGCTGGTTAAACTTTTGAGTTGCTGGTCAAACTTTTGTGTTGCTGGTGGTCAAACTTTTGTGTTGCTGGTGGTCAAACTTTTGTGTTGCTGGTGGTTAAACTTTTGAGTTGCTGGTTAAACTTTTGAGTTGCTGGTTAAACTTTTGAGTTGCTGGTTAAACTTTTGAGTTGCTGGTCAAACTTTTGAGTTGGTGGATAACTTAAAATTTGGTCAACTGAAAATAGTTTCAATGAGGCATTGACCCCATACAGTGAGGCATTGACCCCATACAGTGGCATTGACCCCATACAGTGTGGCATTGACCCCATACAACGTGGCATTGACCCCATACAGTGTGGCATTGACCCCATACAACGTGGCATTGACCCCATACAGTGTGGCATTGACCCCATACAGTGTGGCATTGACCCCATACAATGTGGCATTGACCCCATACAACGTGGCATTGACCCCATACAGTGTGGCATTGACCCCATACAATGTGGCATTGACCCCATACAGTGTGGCATTGACCCCATACAGTGTGGCATTGACCCCATACAGTGTGGCATTGACCCCATACAGTGTGGCATTGACCCCATACAGTGTGGCATTGACCCCATACAGTGTGGCATTGACCCCATACAGTGTGGCATTGACCCCATACAGTGTGGCATTGACCCCATACAGTGTGGCATTGACCCCATACAGTGTGGCATTGACCCCATACAGTGTGGCATTGACCCAATACAATGTGGCATTGACCCCATACAGTGTGGCATTGACCCCATAAGTATGGAAATATGTAGAAGATCTAAATCTAATGAGTTGAAAAACTCTCTAATTCCAAATTCTGATAGTTAAATAGCTTCAAGTTGAATAGACTGCTGGTCAGTACTAAATTGAAGACAAGACACATGTCCTCATTTTGTTTGAAGGGTAACCAGCTGAAAGTCAAGCAAGTAGATGAAGATCAGCTCTTTGATCTTATCCGATCCTTGCCTGGCAAAGTTTCCAAGTATGAAATTCAAGCCAAAGATCAAATTAAAAAGGTAAAACGTGTATTGTAATTGTGAAACAGACTACAATTAACTGCTAGGTAACATAGACTAGAGTTGACTGCTGGGTAACATAGACTAGATTTGACTGCTGGGTAACATAGACTAGAGTTGACTGCTGGGTAACATAGACTAGAGTTGACTGCTGGGTAAAAAAAGTAATCTTTTAAGTAATAATTTTGCGTGCGTATTAGTCTAGCTATAGCTTTATTTATACACATTAACATTTATATTAACATTTTTCGGGCAAACGGCCTTCGGACAAGTGTCCATTCAGGCGTTTGTCACATTCGGGCAAGTGTTCAGTAGGGCATTGGTAGCATTCGGGCATTTGTCGCATTTGGGCAAGGGTCCATTCAGGAAATCAGCATTTGGGCAAGTGTCTTTCGGGTAAATGTCCGGCTCCCAGAAGGGGGGGGGGGATACAAATTTTGAACTTTTCATAAATATATTTCTAACTGCTAATCTAAAATGATTTTTATCATTTCTGAAACAATGATTTGTGTTTGAATAAAATATTTGAACAACTTCAAGTCTAAAGATTCCTACTGGTTATATTCTTCAGGAGTCTTTGATAAAAGATACTCATTATGAAGGAGTAGGTAAGCATTCAAAAACTTTGAAGTTTGACGAAGCTACACCATCAGGACCTGCCAAGTGTTTATTTACTCAAATCAAAAGCACTCCACAAACCAGTTCAGCTGATGTATCTCCTCCATTAAACAAAGCAGACGGCCCCAGTTGCCCTGAGAGTTTGCTGTGGGTGGACAAACACAAGCCCACCTCACTCAAGAATATCATTGGCCAACAAGGGGAGAAAAGTAATGCCAGAAAGCTGCTTCACTGGCTGACTGCCTGGCATGAGAACATCATTGTTAAAAGACTTAAGGCTTCAGGTATGTTGGCTTGTCCTTGACCTCTCATGTCTGCAGGCAAGCAGGTCAAAAATAGGTGCTAACAATAGGTGCTAACAATAGGTGCTAACAATACTCCTGTGCAATATGAGTACATGATTGTTCCAATGGATTGAAAGCAAATTTGATCTAGTTGTCAGTTGTCCAATTGGTTCTACTCTAAAGCATTGCACTTTTTTGGGTTAGATTTTTTCTATTTATGTATTCTACTGCCCCTGGATAATTCATAGCAAGAGTATATACAGAATTTATGATACAATGACAGCTTCAACTCATTGACTATACAATATATTGAGTTACAAATTAGTACAGTGGGGAAAAAATGGATTCTGTATATAAATAAAACCAGAAGTGTGGGGGTGTGCTCAAGGATGTCCTACCCAGGATCTGAATTGGAGACTTTAGGGATAGCAGACGTGTGCCCTCACTCTATTAGCCTTATTAAAATAACTAGCCGTTGGTACCCGTTACACATAAATTATAGGACTATATATTTCAATGTTATACTTGTTTGGGAAAAATGTTACACGTGAATTATAAGACTATATATTTCAATGTTATACTTGTTTGGGAAAAATTTTTATAAAAAAAATTATTGGTCAAAACGCTATGTGCTCTACCACACGTTGAACAATATTAGTGACAAAGCAAAGAAATAACTAAACAGCTTAAAATCCGACACATTTAAAATCAAATAGGCGGCTACCAATACCTATTAAATTAAAACCAAATTATATACATTATTAGTCAACACAACACCATATTAAATGCACACACTGATTAAGAGACTTAAAATTAAGAGACTTCGTTAAAAACCCGGCTGTTCAATGGTAGTTGTGCTGTTTTTGTCTTTTAAAAACCTGGTTGTTCAATGGCAGTTATGCTGTTTTTGTCTTTTAAAAACCCGGCTGTTCAATGGTAGTTATGCTGTTTTTGTCTTTTAAAAACCTGGCTGTTCAATGGTAGTTATGCTGTTTTTGTCTTTTAAAAACCTGGCTGTTCAATGGTAGTTATGCTGTTTTTGTCTTTTAAAAACCTGGCTGTTCAATGGTAGTTATGCTGTTTTTGTCTTTTAAAAACCTGGCTGTTCAATGGTAGTTATGCTGTTTTTGTCTTTTAAAAACACTTATTTTGGCACAGCATGGATCTGACCACATTATTCCTTCATAGGAAGGAAGACAGAATCAGGTGAACTCTACTTCACCTGCCCCATGTCCCGCCAAGTCCCAATAGGCAACTTTATCATTCACATCTAATAAAAATTAACTTTGATGTGGTGTGTCTCGAACCCGTACCATCCACATGGTAACTATTTCACTATCATCTCAGCTATTTAGGCATTTCAGCTTAGGTGCAGAATAAGTGTAGTACTTTACTTGAGTTACGTGAATAGGCCCTATTATCTCAAATGAAACTTTATCCAAAATTACCTGATTCCATTAGCCAAACAAACAAAGATGTATATAAAATAATTAAGGCCTGAAATAGTTTAGTATAGAAGCTCATTATGGGCATAGATTCTAGATAGAGCTAGAGTCTAGATTTTGCTAGATCTAGATATAGAATCTAAATAGATAAAGTAAATTTTATAAGTTTAGGCCAAGAAAATTGTATACATTTCATAGTGTACGTCTTGAAGTTGATAAGTAGATGTATAGACCTAAACCAAATTTGAATGAAATAGCTCATTTCTTTATATTCTAAAATTGGAAGATGAGGCCATTAGTTTTGTGCTCTTTCCTTTGTTTAAACATTTGGCATGTGACATCATGCCGTATCTTTAGGTTCTCCATATATCGCTCAACATATTGATCACTTTGCCAAAAGATATTGAGGACAGAGAGAGAGAAGTGCGCACATGGTCTTTTATATATTAAGATAATTTTACTTTTATTAGGGTGTTAAATTAGCAATAGTGTGAAGTTAAGTATTAGTTAAATTAGTATAGGCTTTATATAAAGGTTAAGACTCGAAGCATAATTTTTTAAAACTCAAGTGAAAGATATACAAAGATAATCATAAATAAACATGACTCATTTATTTAGTCGCCACAATATGTCATGGCCAATTATGCAATTAAGTATTAAAAATTATTTTTTATTTAGAAAGGAAAAGCGACTTGGCAAAGTGTTGACTACACTATCACTTCATATACCAATATGAAATCTAAAATCATAAGTTTGTTTTGAAAGCAAAACCTATGCTTTTAATTTTGAATAATGATATAGTCTGTTTTAAAAAATGAAAATATTGGGTTTTTTTTTCAAAGCAGAAACAATGACTTTGTATTTTTCAGCAAGTTTTTTTGCTGGGGGTAAAGGAGATGGGTCAGGTAACAGAGCTGCGCTTCTTTCTGGACCCCCCGGGATTGGGAAAACTACAACTGCTACACTAGTCTGTAAGGTAAGGACATTAGTTAAATACATGCTACACTAGTCTGTAAGGTAAGGACATTAGTTAAATACATGCTACATTAGTCTGTAAGGTAAGGACATTAGTTAAATACATGCTACACTAGTCTGTAAGGTAAGGACATTAGTTACAACTAAATACATGCTAACTAGTCTGTAAGGTAAGGACATTAGTTACAACTAAATACATGCTACACTAGTCTGTAAGGTAAGGACATTAGTTAAATACATGCTACACTAGTCTATTGATTTAAATTTCTTGATATGCAACATGTCAGGATGTTCCTTTAGAAATAATGAATTAACGAAATAATGAATTCCAATGTAAAAACAGGAAGCCAAATTTTCCTATGTGGAACTCAATGCCTCAGACTGTAGAAGCAAACGAAGTCTGAAAGAAGTGGTCTCTGAATCTTTGAATAACCAGACTCTAATAGACTACATGGGAGAGAACTGTTCTAACACAGGCCAGAGACATTGCCTCATTATGGATGAAGTGGATGGGATGGCTGGTAATGAGGACAGAGGTGGTCTCAATGTAAGATTTATTGCTACACTTGGGGGAACTAATGCAGTTGATAAATAGTGATTTTTGTAGGAACTAATACAGTTTATAAATAATGATTTTTGTAGGAACTAATACAGTTTATAAATAATGATTTTTGTAGGAACTAATACAGTTGATCAAAATGATTTTTGTAGGAACTAATACAGTTGATAAAAATGATTTTTGTAGGAACTAATACAGTTTATAAATAATGATTTTTTGTAGGAACTAATACAGTTTATAAATAATGATTTTTGTAGGAACTAATACAGTTTATAAATAATGATTTTTGTAGGAACTAATACAGTTTATAAATAATGATTTTTGTAGGAACTAATACAGTTTATAAATAATGATTTTTGTAGGAACTAATACAGTTGATCAAAATGATTTTTGTAGGAACTTATACAGTTGATAAATAATGATTTTTGTAGGAACTAATACAGTTTATAAATAATGATTTTTGTTGTAACTGGTACAGTTGATAAATAATGATTTTTGTAGGAACTAATACAGTTTATAAATAATGATTTTTGTAGGAACTAATACAGTTGATCAAAATGATTTTTGTAGGAACTAATACAGTTGATAAATAATGATTTTTGTAGGAACTAATACAGTTTATAAATAATGATTTTTGTAGGAACTAATACAGTTGATAAATAATGATTTTTGTAGGAACTAATACAGTTTATAAATAATGATTTTTGTAGCTAGTACAGTAGATAAAAATGATTTTTCTAGGAACTAATACAGTTGATAAAAATTATTTTTGTAGGAACTGGTACAATTGATAAAAAGCACAAAGATACCTATCATCTGTATTTGCAATGATCGCAACTCAGTGAAGATGCGTTCCTTGTCTAACTACTGCCTAGACCTGCGGTTTACACGTCCAAAAGTTGAGCAGATCAAGGGGGCCATGATGTCCCTTGCATTCAAAGAAGGGGTTAAAGTCCCGCCTGCTGCATTGAATGAAATTATTTTAGCCTCAAACCACGACATCAGACAGGTGAGTCCAATTTATAACAGCTGAAAGGTATGTTTTATATTCATCCACATTTTTTCAGCAAGCCTTCTAAAACACTAGAATATTCTGATTGTTTTGACATTTTTCAGATTATTCACAACCTGTCTATGTGGAGTGTATCTGACAAAAATCTCACATTTGACCAAGTGAAGATGGATTCTTCCAAAGCACAAAAAGATGTCAAATTGGTAAGTAGTGCAGTACTTGTCTGAAGTAGTGAGGTACTTGTCTGAAGTAGTGAGGTACTTGTCTGAAGTAGTGAGGTACTTGTCTGAAGTAGCGAGGTACTTGTCTGAAGTAGTGCACTACTTGTCTGAAGTAGTGCGGTACTTGTCTGAAGTAGTGAGGTACTTGTCTGAAGTAGTGCAGTACTTGTCTGAAATGTTAGGGTACTTGTCTGAAGTAGTGAGGTACTTGTCTGGTGTAGTGCAGTACTTGCCTAAAGTAGTGTAGTACTTATCTGAAGTAGTGCAGTACTTGTCTGAAGTAGTGCAGTACTTGTCTGAAGTAGTGCAGTACTTGTCTGAAGTAGTGCAGTACTTGTCTAAAGTAGTAAGTTACTTGTCTGAAGTAGCGAGGTATTTGTCTGGAGTAGTGCAGTACTTGTCTGAAGTAGTGAGTTACTTGTCTGAAGTAGTGCAGTACTTGTCTGGAGTAGCAAAGTACTTGTCTGAAGTAGTGCAGTACTTGTCTGAAGTAGTGCAGTACTTGTCTGAAGTAGTGAGTTACTTGTCTGAAGTAGTGAGGTACTTGTCTGGATTAGTGCAGTACTTGTCTGAAGTATCAAGGTACTTGTCTGAAGTAGTGCAGTACTTGTCTGAAGTAGTGCAGTACTTGTCTGAAGTAGTGCAGTACTTGTCTGAAGTAGTGCAGTACTTGTCTGAAGTAGTGAGGTACTTGTCTGGAGTAGTGCAGTACTTGTCTAAAGTAGTGCAGTACTTGTCTGAAGTAGTGCAGTACTTGTCTGAAGTAGTGCAGTACTTGTCTGAAGTAGTGCAGTACTTGTCTGAAGTAGTGCATTACTTGTCTTAAGTAGTGAGTTACTTGTCTGAAGTAACGAGGTACTTGTCTGGAGTAGTGCAGTACTTGTCTGAAGTAGTGAGGTACTTGTCTGGAGTAGTGCAGTAATTGTCTGAAGTAGTGAGGTACTTGTCTGGAGTAGTGAGTTACTTGTCTGAAGTAGCAAGGTACTTGTCTGAAGTAGCGAGGTACTTGTCTGGAGTAGTGCAGTACTTGTCTGAAGAAGTGAGTTACTTGTCTGGAGTAGTGCAGTACTTGTCTGAAGTAGTGAGGTACTTGTCTGGAGTAGTGCAGTAATTGTCTGAAGTAGTGAGGTACTTGTCTGGAGTAGTGAGTTACTTGTCTGAAGTAGCGAGGTACTTGTTTGAAGTAGTGCAGTTCTTGTCTGGAGTAGTGCAGTACTTGTCTGAAGTAGTGAGGTACTTGTCTGGAGTAGTGCAGTACTTGTCTGAAGTAGTGCAGTAATTGTCTGAAGTAGTGCAGTACTTGTCTGAAGTAGTGCAGTGCTTGTCTGAAGTAGTGAGGTACTTGTCTGAAGTAGTGCAGTACTTGTCTGAAGTAGTGCAGTACTTGTCTGAAGTAGTGCAGTACTTGTCTGAAGTAGTGCAGTACTTGTCTGAAGTAGTGAGGTACTTGTCTGGAGTAGTGCAGTAATTGTCTGAAGTAGTGAGGTACTTGTCTGGAGTAGTGAGTTACTTGTCTGAAGTAGCGCAGTTCTTGTCTGAAGTAGTGCAGTACTTGTCTGAAGTAGTGAGGTACTTGTCTGAAGTAGTGAGGTACTTGTCTGAAGTAGTGCAGTACTTGTCTGAAGTAGTGCAGTACTTGTCTGAAGTAGTGCAGTACTTGTCTGAAGTAGTGCAGTACTTGTCTGAAGTAGTGCTTCCTTTACTAAAGGGGGCCCTGCTTCCTTTACTGGAGGGGCCCTTCTTCCTTTTGCTTCCTTTACTAGAGGGGCCCTGCTTCCTTTACTGGAGGGGCCCTGCTTCCTTTACTGGAGGGGCCCTGCTTCCTTTACTAGAGGGGCCCTGCTTCCTTTACTGGAGGGGCCCTGCTTCCTTTACTGGAGGGGCCCTGCTTCCTTTACTGGAGGGGCCCTGCTTCCTTTACTGGAGGGGCCCTGCTTCCTTTACTGGAGGGGCCCTGCTTCCTTTACTAGAGGGGCCCTGCTTCCTTTACTGGAGGGGCCCTGCTTCCTTTACTGGAGGGGCCCTGCTTCCTTTACTGGAGGGGCCCTGCTTCCTTTACTGGAGGGGCCCTGCTTCCTTTACTGGAGGGGGCCTGCTTCCTTTACTAGAGGGGCCCTTCTTCCTTTTGCTTCCTTTACTGGAGGGGCCCTTCTTCCTTTTGCTTCCTTTACTGGAGGGGGCCTGCTACCTTTACTGGAGGGGCCCTTTTTCCTTTTGCTTCCTTTACTGGAGGGGCCCTTCTTCCTTTTGCTTCCTTTACTGGAGGGGCCCTGCTTCCTTTACTGGAGGGGCCCTGCTTCCTTTACTAGAGGGGCCCTTCTTCCTTTTGCTTCCTTTACTGGAGGGGCCCTTCTTCCTTTTGCTTCCTTTACTGGAGGGGCCCTGCTTCCTTTACTGGAGGGGCCCTGCTTCCTTTACTGGAGGGGCCCTTCTTCCTTTATTCCTGGAGGGTCTCTGCTTCCTTTACTAGAGGGGCCCTGCTTCCTTTACTAGAGGGGCCCTGCTTCCTTTACTAGAGGGGCCCTGCTTCCTTTACTGGAGGGGCCCTGCTTCCTTTACTGGAGGGGCCCTGCTTCCTTTTGCTTCCTTTACTGGAGGGGCTCTTCTTCCTTTTGCTTCCTTTACTGGAGGGGCCCTTCTTCCTTTTGCTTCCTTTACTGGAGGGGGCCTGCTACCTTTACTGGAGGGGCCCTTTTTCCTTTTGCTTCCTTTACTGGAGGGGCCCTTTTTCCTTTTGCTTCCTTTACTGGAGGGGCCCTTCTTCCTTTTGCTTCCTTTACTGGAGGGGCCCTTCTTCCTTTTGCTTCCTTTACTGGAGGGGGCCTGCTACCTTTACTGGAGGGGCCCTTTTTCCTTTTGCTTCCTTTACTGGAGGGGCCCTTCTTCCTTTTGCTTCCTTTACTGGAGGGGCCCTGCTTCCTTTACTGGAGGGGCCCTGCTTCCTTTACTAGAGGGGCCCTTCTTTCTTTTGCTTCCTTTACTGGAGGGGCCCTTCTTCCTTTTGCTTCCTTTACTGGAGGGGCCCTGCTTCCTTTACTGGAGGGGCCCTGCTTCCTTTACTGGAGGGGCCCTGCTTCCTTTACTGGAGGGGCCCTGCTTCCTTTACTGGAGGGGCCCTTCTTCCTTTACTGGAGGGGCCCTGCTTCCTTTACTAGAGGGGCCCTTCTTCCTTTTGCTTCCTTTACTGGAGGGGCCCTGCTTCCTTTACTGGAGGGGCCCTTCTTCCTTTATTCCTGGAGGGTCTCTGCTTCCTTTACTAGAGGGGCCCTGCTTCCTTTACTAGAGGGGCCCTGCTTCCTTTACTAGAGGGGCCCTTCTTCCTTTTGCTTCCTTTACTGGAGGGGCCCTGCTTCCTTTACTGGAGGGGCCCTTCTTCCTTTATTCCTGGAGGGTCTCTGCTTCCTTTACTAGAGGGGCCCTGCTTCCTTTACTGGAGGGGCCCTGCTTCCTTTACTGGAGGGGCCCTTCTTCCTTTATTCCTGGAGGGTCTCTGCTTCCTTTACTAGAGGGGCCCTGCTTCCTTTACTAGAGGGGCCCTGCTTCCTTTACTGGAGGGGCCCTTCTTCCTTTATTCCTGGAGGGTCTCTGCTTCCTTTACTAGAGGGGCCCTGCTTCCTTTACTAGAGGGGCCCTGCTTCCTTTACTGGAGGGGCCCTGCTTCCTTTACTGGAGGGGCCCTGCTTCCTTTACTGGAGGGGCCCTGCTTCCTTTATTCCTGGAGGGTCTCTGCTTCCTTTACTAGAGGGGCCCTGCTTCCTTTACTAGAGGGGCCCTGCTTCCTTTACTGGAGGGGCCCTGCTTCCTTTACTGGAGGGGCCCTGCTTCCTTTACTGGAGGGGCCCTTCTTCCTTTATTCCTGGAGGGTCTCTGCTTCCTTTACTAGAGGGGCCCTGCTTCCTTTACTGGAGGGGCCCTGCTTCCTTTACTGGAGGGGCCCTTCTTCCTTTATTCCTGGAGGGTCTCTGCTTCCTTTACTAGAGGGGCCCTGCTTCCTTTACTAGAGGGGCCCTGCTTCCTTTACTGGAGGGGCCCTTCTTCCTTTATTCCTGGAGGGTCTCTGCTTCCTTTACTAGAGGGGCCCTGCTTCCTTTACTAGAGGGGCCCTGCTTCCTTTACTGGAGGGGCCCTGCTTCCTTTACTGGAGGGGCCCTGCTTCCTTTTGCTTCCTTTACTAGAGGGGCCCTGCTTCCTTTACTGGAGGGGCCCTTCTTCCTTTATTCCTGGAGGGTCTCTGCTTCCTTTACTAGAGGGGCCCTGCTTCCTTTACTAGAGGGGCCCTGCTTCCTTTACTGGAGGGGCCCTGCTTCCTTTACTGGAGGGGCCCTGCTTCCTTTACTGGAGGGGCCCTGCTTCCTTTACTGGAGGGGCCCTGCTTCCTTTACTAGAGGGGCCCTGCTTCCTTTACTGGAGGGGCCCTGCTTCCTTTACTGGAGGGGCCCTGCTTCCTTTACTAGAGGGGCCCTGCTTCCTTTACTAGAGGGGCCCTGCTTCCTTTTGCTTCCTTTACTGGAGGGGCCCTGCTTCCTTTACTGGAGGGGCCCTGCTTCCTTTACTAGAGGGGCCCTGCTTCCTTTTGCTTCCTTTACTGGAGGGGCCCTGCTTCCTTTACTGGAGGGGCCCTGCTTCCTTTTGCTTCCTTTACTGGAGGGGCCCTGCTTCCTTTACTGGAGGGGCCCTGCTTCCTTTACTAGAGGGGCCCTTCTTCCTTTTGCTTCCTTTACTGGAGGGGCCCTGCTTCCATTACTTTGAGCAAGCCTTGGTTGGGTTTAATCATCATTCTAGCTGTCCACTGTATCTCTAGTGTAGGCCAATCTTTAGAAGTAACTTAGGTACCCTAGTGTTCCATTTGCTGGAGGCTGCTTAGTGATTGTACCTACCACCATCTGCCTGGGGGTTCGGGCCACCCCCACCCCTCAATGCCAGTAACAATGGGATTATGTTCTTGAAACCAAATGATATCTTTGCCTACTATAGCTCCTGCCAAACCTCAGGCCATGAGAGTTGATTATTGTCAGATCTCTTTCTGCATACGAACATGAGAAATCAATGAATTTTTCTACAAAAAAACAATGTTCTGTGCACAACTGAATTTGGTACAGTCTTATTGAATTTCTCAGGGTCCATTTGATGTGTGTCGTAAAGTTTTTGTCAGCGATGAAGAGACCAGAAAGATGAGCCTGACTGAGAAAGCTGATCTGTTTTTCATTTCTCAGGGTCCATTTGATGTGTGTCGTAAAGTTTTTGTCAGCGATGAAGAGACCAGAAAGATGAGCCTGACTGAGAAAGCTGATCTGTTTTTCCATGACTACAGCTTTGGTCCCCTTTTTGTCCATGAGAATTATCCCAGCGTCATCCCATTCAATGCCAAGTAAGTGACATTGGTTAATGCCACAAAATGTCAGGTAAGTGACATTAGTTAATGCCACAAAATGTCAGGTAAGTGACATTAGTTAATGCCACAAAATGTCAGGTAAGTGACATTAGTTAATGCCACAAAATGTCAGGTAAGTGACATTTGTTAATGCCACAAAATGTCAGGTAAGTGACATTAGTTAATGCCACAAAATGTCAGGTAAATGACATTAATGTCTTCCCACTCAATGCCAAGTAAGTGACATTTGTTAATGCCACAAAATGTCAGGTAAGTGACATTAGTTAATGCCACAAATGTCAGGTAAGTGACATTAGTTAATGCCACAAAATGTCAGGTAAGTGACATTAGTTAATGCCACAAAATGTCAGGTAAGTGACATTTGTTAATGCCACAAAATGTCAGGTAAGTGACATTAGTTAATGCCACAAAATGTCAGGTAAGTGACATTAGTTAATGCCACAAAATGTCAGGTAAATGACATTAATGTCTTCCCACTCAATGCCATGTGACATTGGTTAATGCCACAAAATGTCAGGTAAGTGACATTAGTTAATGCCACAAAATTTCAGGTAAGTAACATTAATGTCATCCCACTAAATGTCAGGCTACTTACATGATGTCACTCCTACAAAATTATAGGCAAGTTACCAGTCCGACCAATAGCAAAATTGTTCCACTCAAATTTTCTAATTGATCCACTCAATTGTTCCACTCAATTGTTCCACTCAATTGTTCCATACAATTGTTCCACTCAATTGTTCCACACAATTGTTCCACTCAATTGTTCCACTCAATTGTTCCACACAATTGTTCCACACAATTGTTCCACTTAATTGTTCCACTCATTTGATCCACTCAATTGTTCCGCTCAATTGTTCCACTCAATTGTTCCACACAATTGTTCCACTCAATTGTTCCACTCAATTGTTCCACTCATTTGTTCCACACAATTGTTCCACTCAATTGTTCCACTCAATTGTTCCACTCAATTGTTCCACACAATTGTTCCACTCAATTGTTCCACTCAGTTGTTCCACACAATTGTTCCACTCAATTGTTCCACTCAATTGTTCCACTCAATTGTTCCACTCAATTGTTCCACTCAATTGTTCCACTCAATTGTTCCACACAATTGTTCCACACAATTTCCACTCAATTGTTCCACACAATTGTTCCACACAATTGTTCCACTTAATTGTTCCACTCATTTGATCCACTCAATTGTTCCGCTCAATTGTTCCACTCAATTGTTCCACACAATTGTTCCACTCAATTGTTCCACTCAATTGTTCCACACAATTGTTCCACTCATTTGTTCCACACAATTGTTCCACTCAATTGTTCCACTCAATTGTTCCACTCAATTGTTCCACACAATTGTTCCACTCATTTGTTCCACACAATTGTTCCACTCAATTGTTCCACTCAATTGTTCCACTCAATTGTTCCACTCAATTGTTCCACTCAATTGTTCCACACAATTGTTCCACTCAATTGTTCCACTCAATTGTTCCACACAATTGTTCCACTCATTTGATCCACTCAATTGTTCCACTCAATTGTTCCACTCAATTGTTCCACTCAATTGTTCCGCTCAATTGTTCCGCTCAATTGTTCCGCTCAATTGTTCCACTCAATTGTTCCACACAATTGTTCCACACAATTTCCACTCAATTGTTCCACACAATTGTTCCACACAATTGTTCCACTTAATTGTTCCACTCATTTGATCCACTCAATTGTTCCGCTCAATTGTTCCACTCAATTGTTCCACACAATTGTTCCACTCAATTGTTCCACACAATTGTTCCACTCATTTGTTCCACTCAATTGTTCCTCTCAATTGTTCCACACAATTGTTCCACTCATTTGATCCACTCAATTGTTCCACTCAATTGTTCCACTCAATTGTTCCGCTCAATTGTTCCGCTCAATTGTTCCACTCAATTGTTCCACACAATTGTTCCACACAATTGTTCCACTCAATTGTTCCACTCAATTGTTCCACACAATTGTTCCACTCAATTGTTCCACTCAATTGTTCCACTCAATTGTTCCACTCAATTGTTCCACTCAATTGTTCCACTCAATTGTTCCATACAATTGTTCCACTCATTTGTTCCACACAATTGTTCCACTCAATTGTTCCACTCAATTGTTCCATACAATTGTTCCACTCAATTGTTCCACTCAATTGTTCCACTCAATTGTTCCACTTAATTGTTCCACACAATTGTTCCACTCAATTGTTCCACTCAATTGTTCCATACAATTGTTCCACTCAATTGTTCCACACAATTGTTCCACTCAATTGTTCCACACAATTGTTCCACTCAATTGTTCCACACAATTGTTCCACTCAATTGTTCCATACAATTGTTCCACTCAATTGTTCCACACAATTGTTCCACTCAATTATTCCACTCAATTGTTCCACACAATTGTTCCACTCAATTGTTCCACTCAATTGTTCCACACAATTATTCCACTCAATTGTTCCACACAATTGTTCCACACAATTGTTCCACTCAATTGTTCCACACAATTATTCCACTCAATTGTTCCACTCAATTGTTCCACTCAATTGTTCCACACAAATACAGACAAGCTTCTGGGAGACTTAGTTTGTACGAAAATCTTAGTGTCAGGGGCCTACATGATAGGGTTCATTTGTCTCTGGTGCTTTTTATGGGGCTCTTTTGTCTGAAACGTTTTATTGGATCATTTTGACGCCACATTGTTTTAATCCAATCCAAACCAGACAAGTAGTCCTCCACTCTAGCGATCTAACCCAAAGCCTCACACATTTGTTCACATCAGTCTTCAACCATTTCCCCTCTACTGTCTTTCATACCCACATTTGACCTTGGGGAAAAATACATAACCCATCGTGTTTAGCTGAACTCATTTTCCCTGGTGTTTTAACTACTTTAACCTAACCATGATAATAAGACAAATATTATTTAAAAAACATTATAGCAACAAGCTTTTAAATGCACTGAAAATAAGAAAATAAACTAATTTCCTTTCTTTCATAAAAGCTTTTGTTGCTCAAATATGTAAAAGATCTCAAGAGCTAAAAGTTACTGTCTGTGACCATATATTACAGACTCAGCAAGTTCTTAAACTTGTTACCTCCCCTTAGTTTCAAAACAGTTTAATTAATTTTTAATGACTAATTAAACATCTAATGAAATTAAAAAATAGATGTACTTGTATTGTCTAAAAGTGGAGCGTACCTAGAAAGTTTGAATAAATCACTGCATAAGAAGTGAGTCAAAATTGAGTTAAAAAGTTTTGCCACAAACCCACAAAGAAAAAAAAACAAGACATTGTGAAGTAAATAAAAGCTTGTAAAAATGACCAGTATTAAATGCATCCAACAGACCATTTTCCAACCAGAAGCCGGATAGTCTAGTCTATATTATGTTAAACATGTTAGGCAATCCTTGTTATTTACTAGTCAATTGTCTGTTGACAGAAAGCACAAGCTGCACATTAACTATGGACATCATTTGTGATCGTGATAACTTTATTTCAGAGGGAATCACTCTAGGCACATGTCCTGTTTGGCCAGAACAATTGACAGTATTTGTGATGGTGATAACTTTATTTCAGAGGGAATCACTCTAGGCACATGTCCTGTTTGGCCAGAACAATTGACAGTATTTGTGATGGAGATATGGTAGAGAAACTAGTAAGAAAAGATGGCAACTGGTCTTTGTTACCCACACAGGTAGGTTGTGTGGCAGGTTAATGACTGGATTCATTCAATCTTATGTAACACATATAGTTACCAGCCAGGGGGGGGGGGGGGGCAGGTTAATGACTGGATTCATTGAATCTTATGTAACACATATAGTTACCAGCCAAGGGGGGGGGGCAGGTTAATGACTGGATTCATTGAATCTTATGTAACACATATAGTTACCAGCCAGGGGGGGGGGGGGGGCAGGTTAATGACTGGATTCATTGAATCTTATGTAACACATATAGTTACCAGCCAAGGGGGGGGGGGGCAGGTTAATGACTGGATTCATTGAATCTTATGTAACACATATAGTTACCAGCCAGGGGGGGGGGGGGCAGGTTAATGACTGGATTCATTGAATCTTATGTAACACATATAGTTACCAGCCAGGGGGGGGGGGGGGGGGCAGGTTAATGACTGGATTCATTGAATCTTATGTAACACATATAGTTACCAGCCAGGGGGGGGGGGGGGGGGCAGGTTAATGACTGGATTCATTGAATCTTATGTAACACATATAGTTACCAGCCAAGGGGGGGGGGGGGGGGCAGGTTAATGACTGGATTCATTGAATCTTATGTAACACATATATAGTTACCAGCCAGGGGGGGGGGGCAGGTTAATGACTGGATTCATTGAATCTTATGTAACACATATAGTTACCAGCCAGGGGGGGGGGGCATAAGAATAAAGTTGTAATTCATTGGGTTGCAGCCCCTGTGTGACCGCAGCTGTTTTCCCTGTGTCTCATGTCATGGGATTATGGGTAGCTTGTGCCTAGCCGTGTCAGACATACCCAAGGCTGCTGTCTGTGGACACTGAGGGTGACGGTACCTAGAGGTAGATCATGACAGTGTAGACCTAATGAAGGGCTACAATTCATTATTCATCTATAAGTCGCCATCTACTGTTTTCTACACTGTTTACTACTGTTGTTCTACATCGCCGATTATGGTTTGATGTAAAGCCAGTAGTTGACAACAGTGTCGGTTCAGTGTGTCCTAAATCTCAGGGTCAGCCGTCTTAACCACAACACCTAAGTGGGGAAAAGCATCACCACTGAGTGAGTGTTACACTTAACTGGAGGAATTTTTATGGGTTTTATGGCAGGTTAATGACTGGATTCCTTGAATCTTCACTGGAGGAATTTTTATTAATAACTCAGTTGGTGCTGTTATAACTATTGAAACTTAGTTGGTGCTGTTATAACTATTGAAAACTTAGTTGGTGCTGTTATAACTATTGAAAACTTAGTTGGTGCTGTTATAACTGAGTATGTTTCTGTTTGCCAGGCAATGTATTCCAGTGTCATCCCAGGTGAGCTCATGCGAGGCAGTTTTCCTGCAATGACATCTTTTCCCCAGTGGCTGGGCAAGTTTTCCAGCACCTCAAAAACCAGCAGGATCCTTCAGGAGCTCAACATGCATATGAGATTAGTGTACGTGTTATTTGTGGCTAACATTGTTTTACATACCAGCAAAAAATCTAAACATAGTTTTGCAATATTGTCCGTATGTCTATGTTTAAGTCTATGCTTGTGTCCATTTTGGAAAACGGCATTTGGGCAAGTGTCTTTCAGGAATTTGTCGTAGACTTGTTTTAGATCTCCCTGAGTCGGAAGAACTTATTTTTGCAATCATGTCTGTGTGTGTGTGTGTGTGAACATGATAACTTGAGTACTGTTACAGCTAGGTTGAAGAAATTTCATATACAAGTATTATACCAAATTTATAGTTCTGTATCAACTTTTCAGCCATTTCTGGTAACAGGAAGTGAAACTTATTCTACTTTCAATTTTTGCTAAAGCCTATAACTTGAGTACTGTTTCTGAGAGACACAATTTCAAAGTTAAAGATCTCATTCTTTGTTTGCTTTCAAATTTTGAGAATTTTCTGGTGACCTGAAGTAGTGCTGTAAGCTATTTCCGAATTGAATTTATTAAGGTCTAATGTGTCGCACTATATTAAACGCATTGTTTGCTTTTCACTATTCTATTTTAAAAAGTTTAAGTATGTAAAAATTGATAAAAAGCATGTCTCCTGCTTTATTTTTATAGCTTACAACACATTACTTGCACATCACACTGGTAACATAGTGACTGTCAGACTGGTAACTTAGTGACTGCCAGACTGGTAACATAGTGACTGTCAGACTGGTAACTTAGTGACTACCAGACTGGTAACTTAGTGACTGCCAAACTGGTAACTTAGTGACTACCAGACTGGTAACTTAGTGACTTCCAGACTGGTGACTTAGTGATTATTATATTGAATTTAGTTTTGAACATTTTCTTTTTAGAACATCATGTGACAAGCAAAGTCTTAACATGGATTATCTTCCCACACTCCGTTCTTGCCTGACCTCTCCACTGGTCACCAAAGCTACTGATGGAGTGTCTGAGGTCATCAAGGTCATGGATGACTATGACATCATCAAGGATGACTTTGACAATATTCTAGAGGTCACCAAATGGCCAAATAGCCTTGACCCCATGTCTAAGCTAGACTCTAAGGTAAGCTGTCTGTAACAACATGTATTGTTAATGTGACAATACGATGTTATTGTTGTGACAATACGTTGTTATTGTAAGTTCTTTCTTCAATAGACACGATGAATTGTTCTTTCATTTTCCAACTTTATTTACAGTGATAAGATAGATCCATAAGGAATAATGATAATAAATCCATAGTAGGATAACAATAATAATAAATCTGTTATGAAACGGAGTCATCTGTGTGCTTTGTTTTGATGATGGTGGTGATGACTGTAGTGAGAGGTTCAAATAAAACGCCAACACAATTTCAGCTGAACAACTTTCATTAAATACACTCTATATGGTAGTCCGACTATGGTCTAAGAAAGCAGAACTAGTTCATTAATAGCGACCGGCCTTAGGGGCCAGCTCTATTACACTTTACAAAACACAAAACACGACTACATGCTAGCCAGTCTAAAGTTCCACTGTCCTATCTTTCTGGCCCAAGCTTGACCCTGGGTTCCTTAACCCCTGCATGACCCTGGCATTCCAGCAAATGCTAGGTGGGACTGATGCATTGTGTCCAAGTTCAGGTGCGGGAGGGGGTGGGGAGGGGCAGTACACGCTGTCCCAGTTCAGGTGTGGGACAGGAGGGGGGTGGGGTAGATACCCACTAGTGGGTCTACCCACTAGCGGTGGGACGAGGGGGGGGGGGTTTGACTCCGTTATAACAAAATCCATAGTAGGATAACAAGCCAATAGCAGGATAACAAATAAGCCAAGGACAATCCACGAACATAGTGACATGGTGATGGCTTACATTCTTCTATACAGGCACCCTTGTCCACCTTACGCTCACCTTTATATCCTACATTCTCTCCCCTAACGTCAGTGAGCAATATAACAAAAAGCATGGAAAAACATGATTAGTCGCTCACAAATTCCTTCCGTTGGCCAGGTACTCCACTTTTATACAAGTTAATGCTAAATACAATATACATAAACAATACCAACAGTACAGTCTGTTACACAATAGAAGTGAAGGTTGATCCTTCAAGACTGTTTAGAGGTGTTGGATTTAGCATTATTTCATAGAATTATGAATAGTCGAACCTATACAGAAATCCACACTCATATCATAACACTACCTTTTCTCTTAAACCCCAAATACTTATCATACCACTTGTATCCATATAACCAAAATATATATCAAACATCTCATCCATATCATGCCCCTCATTCATAACCCCTTATTAGTTTGTGAAAATATAAAAACAAATGAAAACATAAACACAAACAAACATTAATACAAACACCAACTTAAAAGCGCAAATAATAAAGAAAAAAGAAAGAAAAAATATAATGCAAACACGAACTTAACCATAAACTAAAACATAAACACAAACGTAAACTTAGAGGACATTTTGGAACAGCTTCTAAACTTATTGATTAAAGATAATAATTACTTAACAGTATATTCAGTGCGTAAAATAAATAAAATGTATTTAAAACTGTGTTTTACCTACCACATTGCACTTTATTAATCCATGCTAATTATATCATTTTTTCCAACATTAAAACAATCTAAATGGGTAATACATTTTGTTTGAATTTGTTCTTAGCACTTTACGTCAATTCAGATGTTAAGTTGTAAAATGAAAACATTTTTTTTTAAATGATTAATGTTGAGTTTTCTAGACATCAATTTAGATTTTAGTACAAAAATTAACACTTTGAAAATATTAGACAATGGTAATGAAGTCTAGTTTTTTACTATATGCATGTCATCCTTAAGTCCACCACATACATACAGACACAATCCATTGGAACGTTATATATAAGAATTGGTCTTGAAACTTTTCTTTTGTTCTCACCACCCTTTTACAAGTAAGAAATGCTCGTCTTTTTTTTTCTAATTGTAAATATGTTTGAAACAAATAAAACTTTGACTTAGCTATGTAGGAATACTGTTATGTTTTAGTTTAAAATGGTCTAGTATCTTTGACTTAGCTATGTAGGAATACTGTTATGTTTTAGTTTAAAATGGTCTAGTATCTTTGACTTAGCTATGTAGGAATACTGTTATGTTTTAGTTTAAAATGGTCTAGTATCTTTGACTTAGCTATGTAGGAATACTGTTATGTTTTAGTTTAAAATGGTCTAGTATCTTTGACTTAGCTATGTAGGACTACCAGAATGTTTCATTTTGACTCTAGACAAAGGCAGCTTTCACCCGGCGCTACAACAAAGAAATTCATTTGACGCCTTATGCCACTGGCACAGTGAGTAAAAGAAAAATACGAGGGACAGCTATGGTGGAGGAGGAAGTGTTTGAGGAAGACGGAGGGGAGGAGAGGATTGCTGAAAGTGAAAAGGAGGAAGACGAGGACATAGAGCAGGACACAATGATTAAGGTAATGAATGTCAAACAGTCATTAAATAAAATTAGGGGGTCAAAGGTTGAAATTAATTGTCAAATCTCAATTATTTTTTTTTCTCTTACAAATACATCCTTTATACTCAATACGAGAAAGTAAAAATTAATAAAAATTCTATAATAATAAGGTTTTATATATAAACACTAGTATTTAAATAACTAACCCTAGAAAAGAGTGAGTCTGCTTCTTAAAGTTTCGTAAATGTATTCAGTAGATAATAATGTAATAGTGAACCACACTTTTCTTTATAGTTATTTAAATAGTGCATTATTATATATTTAAAGGGAATCATTTATTTTCTTCTTTTTAGTGCGTAATTATATAAAAGCTTGTAATTTAAATGTTTTTTTTTTATTAATTTTATTTTCAATACAAATCTATTTGTAACACAATAGATTTTTATGATTGAAAAACATGTGGGCCAAATGTACACAAACAATGTGCTTATAATTTCATGGAAAATTGTGTTTTTTATAGGAAACTTTAATTAAATCATAAACAATTAATTAAGCATAATAAGCTCACTTAAGTTTTTGGTTTAGTATAAGTGATTACATGTTTAATGGTTGGCTAGATTACTGCTTAGCAATAGAACTAGTAGATAATTGGGGGAAGTTGGCTCAAAATATCCTTGAATACTCCCAAAGTTGGCTCAAAATATCCTTGAATCCTCCCAAAATTGGCTCAAAATATCCTTGAATCCTCCCAAAATTGGCTCAAAATATCCTTGAATCCTCCCAACTCTGACTCGGGTTAGGAAAAGTACAGACTACTGCACAAAGAGCTGATTTCTCAATGCAATATAGGTCGTTGAGCTTAGAGTCAATTTGACAAGAGTCCATGTGGGTCAAGTCCTACTGTCATTTTTTGGGTAGGGTGTAATTGCCATGGGGGGTGGGAGTTAACAATAACATTTGTGCTGATAGATGGGGGGGGGGTCCTGCTCTTGACACATTTTAGCATTTAACAAATGTTTTGGATTCATTTTTAGATTCATTATTTTAAATTGATTATTGTTCCACATCTAAACCAATACTCAAGATTTAGAAAGTTTGTGATAAATAACATTTCATGGTGGGTTTTATATTTAGGATTGATTGGAGTTATGTTATGGTTAGGCCCTTTTAGTTTAACAGCAACCAAAAAAAAAAAGTTTGGCCAAGTCCGTTGTGACTCGTGAAATTTGATCTGGTCAACCACTGCCAGCACTGAGCATCAAGTGAAAAGAATTCTACACTCCCCTCCCCTTACAAAATCACTGAGTTTTTTTTTAAATTTGTTTATTCACTTTTACACAGTCTAATATTCTATATGACTTTTACACAGACTAATATTCTATATGACTTTTACAGTCTAATATTCTATATGACTTTTACACAGACTAATATTCTATATGACTTTTACACAGACTAATATTCTATATGACTTTTACACAGACTAAAAATCCAGGAAAACTGCAACACAGAGCAGCTGGTGGATCACAGAAAAGTGGATCACAGAAAATTGGATCACAAAAAGGTGGATCTGGTCAGAAAACAGGGAAAAAACCGGGTCGCGGGGTCAGCAAGCAGAATAATTCTGGAAGATAATTGACAATTCTTTCATTTGTGTTGCCATCATTTATGGACAAAAAAATATTAAAACTATTCACTAGTTATCATAATTACGTGTGTTCTTTCACCTTATTACATATGTTCTTTCACCCAATTTTTGTTATTACAATTCAAGGGTTTTAATTTAACTATATCAGTTGGTTTCTTCATCATGACAGCAAGCAGCTTTTTGTCCAGTCCTTGCAACAAAAAAACCCTATTGATGATATAGAAAAATATATATACAATTAATTAAAGCTTTACCAAGTTCAATTCAAATGAAGGGGGAAAAACACAATAGGATTTTGTGACTGGTAATTAGTACTTGCCCATCATTGCATAGTACTCTAGTCAACAGACTGGCTTCGGATTCACGTTTGTAATTGACAAAGTTTACCAAACAAAAATTATTTATTATTCAAGTAGAGAGATTTTGTCCACACCATAGAACATTTAAAACATTTTTATCGATCACAGACCTCTACACTAAATTTATTCTCTTTAAGCTTGAGCTACGGTTTAAATTTAGAGCATATATCCTGCAATATATTTATGAATATAAGCAACTAAAAATATTTTAGAATAGTTGTAAACAGCTATTTTATATAACATGGTAAAAGTATATTTTTAATAAAATGGAAATACATAATTAAATATTTTACAAACCTGTATTCAAGCGTATCACTTATTTCCCCTGCTTTTGAAATCTGCGGCTCCCACAAGCGTAAAATCCTTCGTATGTTTCAGGGATTAGGACATCTGGTCTTTTAATGATCCTAATCTTAGGGGTCCTTTCCCTCTTTCATTTTTTACAAGCTTTTACGTATAGTTATTTAAATAGCAGTGTTTAATTATATATTTCAAGAAAATATTTTATTTTCTGCTTTTTAGTGCATTATTACATAAAAGCTTTTTTAATAATGATTTTTTTAATATGAAAAGGTTAACTGGAGAAAAAACGTGATTTTCTTACAGTTTCTAATACTGTTGACTCTCTACAAGCTCCCTAATAAAACTCAATAGTATTATCTAATCAATAGTAATAAAACTTTTACATCTTATATTAACAATGACCGATAAAAAACTTTTACTTCGGCGCCCCACGTTTTTCATTTTTTGTCATAATGCGCATGCAGTTTGCGATCGCTTATAGTAGAGTGATCGCTTGCATTATTGTGATGTATAGCATTTATTTTCTACTTTTTAGTTCAATCAGAAAACGTAGGTTTTTTTTTTTTTCAAATTTTAATGATAATTATTTTCTACTTTTTAGTCTTTGTTTGCATTCAAATCTTGCTATTGATTTTATATATTATATTTGTTCTTCTGTCTCCATCGCTAAAGCAGCAGATTTCGGTTTCGATCTTTTTCGAGCTTCTTTTGATACTCACCTTCTTCCATAAATTTTTGGTCGTTTAGGGGGATTTTCCAATCTGTATCCCGCTTTGCGCTTCTCCTGATACTTCTGGCGTGCCTTTTCCAATCGACGTTTCTTCTGTGTTTCTTTCACCATTTTGCCCTCGCGTGCAAACCATTCGACCATCAACATTCTACTTCCGGATCAGTCAGATTTGCATAGGTTTGTACACAAACACCGCGTGACCACTACTCAGCCAATCGCGTGCTCGCTCCTTTATGATTTTTCATTTGTTTTTCAGTAAGCCAGAAGAGGGAAAGTACCGAACTTTTTTTTATCAAATTACAATTACTAGGTTATGTCCCTTTTTTGTACAAATCAATAAGAGTCTAAAATGACCAATAAAAATTTTCTATGGATAAATTTAGTAATAATAATAATTGAATATTGTATTGCCATCGGAAACAAAGCTTCCCTGAAAATTTCAGCGCGCTAGCTAACTGGGAAGTGCCCGAAATTTCTATCGCATGATTTGATGGAAAGACAAACAAACAGACGCGAAAGCAAGTTAAAGAAAACGTGGGGAAAAAGACATCTAAAGTTGCGGTCTCACAGGGGCCGCAACCAAATAAATAAATTATCCCCCCTGACTGGTAACCATGGTATGTGTTACAAATTAATTTATGTTGAGTATTATATTATCGTTTTACTTTTTACCGTCATTTCCCCGGTAGTCATCTTTCTCGTTTTTACTTGTGACGTGTTGAAATTTCTTTGTAGCTTCCCGTGTTTGCCCCTTTGACTCTTACTTACTTACCTAGTTATATCTTTTCTTCGTTTCTCTCCCTTTCGTCACTTTCCTTTGTCTGCTTTTGTTTGGTTCTATATTAGTACCGTACTGACATTTTACTGTGGTAGTCCCCCTTTCCCCCGTTTTACTCTTCCTCGATTGTGTCGTATTTGAATTAGTAGGGTTGTTTCCCTTTCGTCGCATGCATTACTTCTGGTTGACCTGATTGTGTTTTTCCTCGTTTTTCTCCTTTGCGCGATTTCTGTTGCATTGCTTGTTTACTTTAGGGTCATCCATAAATGACGTCACACATCAGCCTACAACCCCTCAAAATTGCTTTTGAATTTTTTTTAAACATTGATATTTTTCAAACATCTTGTTTGAACTCTGTCAACACAGAGTATATCTATTACATTTTCTTAAAACCGTTTTCTAAAACGCGAAATTACGGATAAAATTCGTTTTCTAATATTGCTTTCTTGTAATGCAAAAATGACGTCACACCAACTGAACCCCCCCCCCCCCCTCATCACACATCGTCACAAAATTACGGACCCTCTTCCCCCTACGAGTGTGACGTCATTTATGGACGACCCCTTTCTTATTTTCTGAGGGAAGTATAATTTAATATCGTGCAGAATCATTAACAACTATGTTGGCAGTTTTCGCCGTTTTACACCTCCTTACTGTATTGTCTACGGAATATAAATCCTGCAAAAATCTACATCGAGAGTTTGACAAGTTTTGACCTTGTGACTTGGTTTTGCAATATTGTCCATCTATGTGCTCGTGAACACAATAACTTTATTGCCGCTTCAGTTAGGATGACACAATTTCTTATTTAGGTATGATAGAAAAAACTTGTAGCTCTGTATCATTTTTTTAAATAATTACCGGTAACCGAAAATGGTACTTACTCTACTTCTGGATTCTGAAAAGCCCATAACTAGAGTACCGTTCAAATTAGGTGCAGGTAATTTCATATACAGGTATTAAATTGTAAGCGCATGTTTCTTTCAACTTTTGGAAGTGTTCGTGGATATTATATCTTCATATATAAGTATATCTTATACTTGGATTACTTTCAATTTTTTAATGAACTTCAATAAACCGAAGTGGTACCATATTTATGTGTTCTAAAATACCAATAACCTTTGTACCGTTTCAAGTGGACGAAATTTAAACCCATGTATAAAATCTTATTCGCTTGATTCTCTCCAATTTTTTAGTGGTTTCCGGTGAACGAAAATATAACTTTACGAGATTTACGATTTCTAAAAATTATTACTTCTACCAGACCGATTTCTTCTAAACTTTTCAGAAAGGTCTAGTATCGATAACAATGCAGTGTCATATAAAATTTTGCTCAATTAGATGCTTAAAACAAACATTTTTTAAATTAATCAATGTTTCGTTTATAAAGAACTAATTTTTCCGTTTTTACGTTCATTTGGTGCGCAATTCAATGTTCTACTTGATTCTATCTATCTATATAGACTGCTACTAACATCGAGAAGGTTGTGTGTGTTTTTGTTTGTTTGTTTGTCTGTTCAGTTAGGTGAGAGCATCTGCACTATGTGTAGAACTGTAAATTACGTATATATGTAATGTAGAGAATAATGTTCTTTTTTCCCAAACTCAAATTTATTTAAAGAAGCTAATTAATTAATTTATCGATATATTCATTTGTAGAAATACCCCATTGTAAGCTAAGGCGTGACTTCTTTTAAGATATGAATGATAACGTTGCCTATCGGGCCTTGGCGGGTCACGCGAAGAAGAGATCGGCAGGTGAAGAAGAGTTCACCTGTGACTTCAGCTTTTGAAGGGATAGTGTGGTTACATCTATGCTTGGCCAAATCGGTGTTTTAAAAGAAAAAAAAAACATGTTTTTCTGAGGTGTGGCGTCTTTTTTAATGTGGGGTCTGACTTTTTGAATGTGGGGTCTGACTTTTTGAATGTGGGGTCTGACTTTTTGAATGTGGGGTCTGACTTTTTGAATGTGGGGGTCTGACTTTTTGAATGTGGGGTCTGACTTTGAATGTGGAGTGACTTTTTGAATGTGGGGTCTGACTTTTTGAATGTGGGGTCTGACTTTTTGAATGTGGAGTCTGACTTTTTGTGATGATGTATGACAGTGGGAAGGGAAGGCGAAAGATAAAAATTGTCAAATAAACGTAGTCATTTATGGATGAACCCCGAAACCCACGGTTATCCAAGGATAGCGGGTAGACTAGCTATATTATAAAAATTGTAATATACGACAAAGTTTAGGGGAATTTACTCCCTTTTTATTATTTTTACGTTCCTCTCTTATTTGAATTTTTTAAGTGAAAAAAAGACTTTTTTTTGCAATGAATTGTGTGAAAAAATTTGGATCTCTTCTCTGTGTAGGCCCGTATATATGTATGTATGTGTTGAGTGTGTGTGCCTTATAATTTTACAAAAATAACATGGCACTTTTTAGAGTGTCGGAAAAAAATTAGAAATTTGAAAACTTTTTACTGCTTCAGATATCTGAATAAATTTGAAATCCACGATCTTAGAATCTGAAGTTCTTGACATAGCAGCATTTCAACAGGCGCAACAGTCGGCACCCCGGCTATTGCGAGACGCGAAGCACTCCGGAATCCCCGGCGAGCACTAAGGCGCCTACGTTCGTTTTTTTTTTAAGGCTATACACTAAAGACACGATTGTCAAGAATAATCGTTGACTTTATCGAATCAGGCGCGTCCTTCGGCGCCCTGGCAGGGGGCAATATGGCGCCCCAGGTGTTGTTTTTTTTTGGGCGTAGTGTAGGTAAACCCATGCCTCGTCAAATATGATCCAAGTGCAGGCATTGTTTACATTTTTTTAAACTCAGTTTTAGAAAAAAAAAAGGTCACGCGTCTAAAAATATAGGATTGTTAAAGCTGTGATGAAACCCTCCTATATTTCGTCAGATTTTATTTGTCTTTTATGTATTGCTACACCTTTCTTCTGATCGCCATGAAACTTTGGAAAATTGTTGAGAATACTCATGGGGAGATTTCTGCGAAAAAAAAATTTCAATTTCACACCGGCGGCGCACCGGTAGAAAGTAATTTGGCGCCCAGGCTTATAACATGCGAGCTATGGCGCCTACGTTAATTTTAAACAGTGTGACTATGCATAAGATTGGGCGTTTAGTCGTTCACTAAATTGAATCAGGCGTGTTCGACGGTGACCAACAAGTTGCATCTTGGCGCCTCGGGTTATCCCGGTAGCACTATGTCGCATACGTTGATAGAATATGGATAAAAAGTGGTATTATATTTGTATTATAGTCTTTCATAAACTGAATCAGGTGCGTCGGCCGACGCCTCTGTAAGGTATGATTTGCCACGGGCTATCCTCGGACTTTCTTCTATACCCGCGGCAACGCGCGGAATGGGCACGCTAGTATATATATATATATATATATATATATATATATATATATATATATATATATATATATATATATATATATATATAAAACACTGCTGGTAGTGTGTCACTCCTTCCTTCCGTCATCACTATAGATTTTAGAACCATAAAAGTAAACACATCAGATTTTTTCCCTCCTAATACACCTCTTTATTTGCCGTCAAAGATACGCAATATTTGTAAGTAGAAAACTGTGTCACAGGTCCTGACACGAATCATTATAAGGATTAGAGTAGGGTCTATTTATGTAACGACTTAAATTTTTTGGAAACTCGGCAAAGTTTTTACTCTTTTGCATAGGTCAACAATAGAGCACGAAGAAAATATTAAATACAAGCACATCGCTAAAATATATTAAACCGCTCAATGTCAATGTGTTTGAATTTGCCTTGTGTTTGCATGTTTGTTTTCTGTTGTTTTTGTGTGCTGCGTTTATGTTTATGTTTGCGTTTCTGTTTGTGTTTTTGTGTTTGCGTTGTGTTTGTGTTTTCTCTTGTGTTTGTGTTGTGTTAGCGTTTGTGTTTGTGTTTAGTTTTGTTATGTTCCCTAGTTGGTACACTTAAAAAAGATTCATCGTGGCGGAGCACGGGTATGCCGCTAGTCTATAATATAAGGCTGGTGGTAGTGTGTCAGTCCGTCATCGCTATAGATTTTGCAAGTAATAAAGTAAACACTTAGTTTGTGTTTATGCAATGCGTTGTTGTTTGCTTAGGTTTGTGTTTAAGCGTTTTCGTTAGCGTTTGTGATTGCTTTTTCTGTTGTATTTTTTTGCGTTTGCTTTGTGTTTGCATTTTCTGTTTAGTTTGTGTTTGCTTTTGCGTTTTATTGTTTGTGTTTGTGTGTTGTGTTTCTGGGTTTTTTTGCGTTTGTGTTTGCATTTTTTGTGTTTGTGTTTTCTTTGTGTTTGTGTTTAGTTTTGTGTTTTGTTCTGTTCCCAAGTTGGTAAAAAAGTTCCACCGTGGCGGAGCACGGGTATCCAGCTAGCATATATATATATAAACAGACTTTGTTGATATTGTTTTATAGTTTTACCACATTTTAATTTCGAGTAAAGTACATGTGCTCAATTCAATTCTCAGTTCAAACACTTAAAGTGTTCTATCTTATTAATATTATTTAATTTAAAAACCTGATGAGTAGTGTAGACGTAGATTCAATATAGCTGTAGTCTACTGTCCATTAGATTCAATATAGCTGTAGGTCTACTGTCCCATGGAGGTTTGCTACAAACACAGAGGGGAAAAAAAACTAATTTTTACAAGCTTTTATTTAGTTTTCAATGTATGTTTGTTTGTATGTAGTTTGTTTGTGGGTTGTCGTGTAACTCAGTTTTGACCCACTTCTAATGCAGCGATTTCGTTCAAAATTTCCAGACACGTCCCACTTCGATGACAATACTTCTTCGTTCTTAATTTTAGTGTTGGAAGGGATTCCCTCGATGCGCCGTTGAGACCATTGACTCCTAATTCAGCCTGATTTTTTTAAAATATTAAATTTGCTTCCAACCAGGAAACGACGACAAGGCAGCAGCTGTTTGATTTTGGAGTTGTCTCTCCTAGAAGAAAAGAAGACTTTTCGGTTTTAGCAACCATGAGTTTTACTGACTCAACCACGCCGACCCCTGAGGACAATACAAGTCTATCGAGTCCAGTGCAGGATCTGGCCGGGATGGCTAGTATCTATATATATAATTCTCTTCGTGGGGACCATAGAAGACACCACGCAGCTTAGCCACCACCCTCATCCCCACCTGTCAGGTTAGCTGTGGTTCACCCCGAATGTTTACAATAGTAGGGCCGGTTCGAATACGTGACGGCTATTAAAGGCAGATAACTTAGTTTTTAAACGATTTGAAACTAAGGGGAGATAACATGTTCTGCTTGATATTTTCATTGTCTTCTGTAAACGGCTGCTTTCACTGGGCGGGCTGGGGTGGATTGGGGGAGGCAGGGAGGTGGGGTAGTGTCGAATTCACAAATTATGAATTGTTGATAAGTAGAAAATAAAACAACTAGATAGCGGCGCATGCTACGTCGCGGATCAGCTCGTAATAATATAATACCTGAATGGTGGTTACTGCTAAAGGATCTCTCCCAGCACCGATCCGGGTGAGCAGACGAGATGACACCTCATACATCCATCTGCGTCCAGCTGGTAGTTGCATCCCATTGGTGGAGCAGCACACGGGGGTGGGGGTGGGCACACAGTGGCTCCTTAAAATTAGACAATAAAGTTCAGTTGTCGTGTTGACTTACTCGCACTATATATGGCAATGTCCCTGAATACAAGTTGAACCCATTAACGAGTGTGTATTTTTTAAAAGTAAAGGAGGAGTGAACTCAAACTTTCTCGTATATTCTTATAGAAGGGTTGGGTGGCCACTTCCAGTGCAATCGGGCTGTAGAAACAAAAATATGTTTGTGGCAAAATCGTTCGTTTCTCGAGAAAACACAAGAGAACAAAACCTCTCGTGTATAAAAAGCTTTATGAGAATTCGATATAAATTTTTCAAATTCTGAAGGTTAATGAGAAATCGGAAACTGAGCAATGTATCCCTTCCGTTTACAACAAATTGTTCAAACGTTGATAGAAATCTACGCTCAAGAGCTGTACTGTAAAATAAAATTATAAATATCAACGTAAAATGCTACTCAAGATCTCGTGTTCATGCGGAATTAGAATAAAATATTTCCCTTTATCACTCAAACATTAGTAAATATGTTTGCGGGGAAAGGGTTAATAGAAACTAGCGACAAAATCTTAGAATTAAATATGAATCTTCATCCACCTCACTGAAGCGGTTCTCAAATTATAAGCTTTTGGGAAACTGGAAGTAGAGTAGGCTAAACAAACAAAACTTCTACTTTGCACCAGAAATTGCTCAAAAGCGGGTAGATAACTACAAATTGGATGTAATAATAAATATATTACATGTTATTAACTAATTGAAAGGGTAGCCTACTCATGGTACTGTTTTCACACACAGAAACACACACACACACACACTAACTAAAAGAAAAGTTTAAACTGATATTTATTTTTTCAGGCTTAAAAAAGGTGATCAGCGTCGCGATTTGTCAATAGTAAAAACAATTTGTGATTTTAAAACTATTTTTGACGTACTAAATAGATACAATAGGATTTATGCGCCCTAGTCCTCTCTCATTCGCAAACTGAGCATTCGCAAATAGAACATTCGCAAATAGAACACTCGCAAATAGAACATTCGCAAACAGAACATTCGCATACTACTATTACGAAAAATGAGAAACACAATATATACATTGTAGTCAGCAAAACACATAATTAAATTATTTAATACCCCAATGTTTTCAGTGCATTAAAAAAAAATTCAGTAAAACAAAAACGGTTATGTTATGAACTCATCTTTTTGTTGTATTTTTGTAATATTTTTTTTATTTGGCCGACAAAAAAAATATTTTATCTAGCTTGTGCCCGTATCGGTTAATAATAGAATGAATACAAACATTAATTTCACCCTTATTTTCGAAATAGAAGATCTGGCAAACTTGTCCTATTGATTTCATTTACCCAATCTTATCAAACTATGAGTGATTTCCGGTGACCGTAAATACTGGTTTACATTATTACTATAAGAATTTGATACTTTATGTCCTATCTTTTAAAGTTACCGGTACCACTCTGTCTGGGATCTGAGAACATACTAGAAAGTTTAGGGGAGATCACTCCACATTATCAAAATGTGAGAAGCCGATTTCATTGCAACTCATTTAAATGATAGGGTCTGTTCTTTGTGTATGTGTGTTTAGGTTGGATTTAAAAGTTAGTTAATGCCATATATATTTATAGATGTAAACCGATACGTTTGGCGCTTTTTAAACTGTAAAAAAAAAGTTAAAAACCAAAATTTTAAAATATAACCTATAAATCAAGTCAAGTAAACATTCCTCCTCAGTGTTTCTTCCAGACTTTTTTCTCCGGGGGGGGGGGGGGGGGGCACTTGAAATTTTCGGGGGGGGGGGGGGGCGGTAGACTTTCTTCGGGGGGGGGGGGGCGGACACTGTTAAAAGTATATATTTTTCTATATAAATTATATAAATTTCTTTCGCTCGGGGGGGGGGGGGCGGTAGAATTTTTTCGGGGGGGGGGGGGGGGGCTTCGCCCCCTCCCCCCGAAGAGATGCCTGGAAGAAACTCTGCTCCTCCTTAGACAGGTGAGATAGAGTTCATGTTTCTTGACCTCGGCGTATGAAGGGATGGTGTGGTCAGCACGATACCCAGTCGCATTTAGTATCCCCAATGTAAGCCAGGTACCCATAAGAGTTAGGGGCTGATCCGTGTTCCGTGTAGCAGCCAAATGCTCTACCGTTCGAGCACGCCGTCCCACCATCATTCCGTGTAGGCTACTATAAAATTATGTTTGTAAATTTATTGATGACATTCATATAACGCTTTGTGTGTTCAAGTTTGTAACCGGAAGTAGAACTTGACGCTGTGTTACGATTCCTCAAAAAAAGCAAAAGAATGTATCTATCTTGATCCATCTGCCTGAGTTCCATCATGGGTGGAAACTTGGGCACATTTTCGAAACATATTTTTGCTTTCATTCTTTCTTTTTTTCATTTAAGTATTTAAATATTAAAAAATAAAACAAGTATAAAAACCTCTATAATAATAAGCTAAAATGATCGCTAAAATGTATAAGAGATCTTATTAATGACCAATGATTATATTAAGAAAAGCAAATTATTTTTATATTTCAGTGCACTTAAAATCTTTCTATGAGAAAGGTTTTGTTTTATTTAACACTTTTTACTTTCTCGCATATACGAAGTATAGAGAAAGTCTTGTAATCGTGCAAAAAAAAATCGAGATTTTCGCAAATCTCGACGTTTTACACCTCACTGATACGGAAAAACATAATTTTGCAATCTTGTCCGTATGTCTGTGTGTCTGTCTATGTCTCTCTGTGTGTGTGTGTGTAAACACGATAACTTGAGTACCGTTACAGCTAGGTTGATGAAATTTCATATATAGGTATTGTATCAAAATCGTAGATCCCTATCAACTTTTGAGCGATTTCCGATAAACGGAAGTGGTACTTTTTCTACTTTAAATTTTTAAAAAGCCTATAACTTGAGTACTATTTCAGATAGATAAATAAAATTTCACATGTAAGTAAAAGATCTAATTCTCTACCTTCTGTCAAATTGTGAGTAATTTCCATTTACCGGAAATACTAATTTACGCTATTTCCGTTTTCTCAAAAAAGCATGTAAATTTATAAAGTACTAATAATACTGCGCACTATTATGAACATCTTTATTTGGCGTTCGCTTGGTGCGCAATTCTTTTTTCTATGAGATTATATTCTATTTTTAAAAGTTTAAGTATTTCAAATGGATTAAAAATCATAACTATATCCCTAGTTTCCATCCCCTGTTGTTTTATATAAGAATATTCGAGAAAGTTTAGGGGAGATCACTCCCGGTTTATTTAAAAAGTAATTTGTTCTAGACGAAGTTGACACCTCATAATCAGTGAGTAAATTATTTACGCAAAAATCTGATCAGTAGCTTGTTCAACGTGCTCAACAAAAACAATTTTTTTTTACAAAATTACATACCAAAAATGATCTTCGTCGATTGAACGCCCTTAGTATTATAGAATACATACACAACTGTCGGTGTAATGTTTCAACAAGTTACATTGTTAAAATTACGATTAGTTATGATTAGTAGGCCTACTTAGTGCGAAACATTATAGTCAAGATAAATCTTAGAACTTGGTGTTAAATTGTTACATCACCTTGTGTGAAAATTATAAAAGACAAGAAGAATAAAAACGTCACTAAAGTCATCAATACAGCCTTCATTTTCTCCGTTAGCTTTAGGCTCCTGAATGTAGCGAAATGTAACTGGGATTTTACACTGCTTCTAGATCGCAGAGATAGAATCTCTACAGCTGCTAAATCTCATACATTAAACTTGAACAGCTGCTAAATCTCAAAGATAACAAGATCAGTGGTATTTTGTTTATGGTTAGCTGAATTTAAAGAATCAGTGGATAACCCGAGACAGACAGAAAGACAGACAGACAGACAGACAGACAGACAGACAGACAGACAGACAGACAGACAGACAGACTGACTGACAGACAGACAGACAGACAGACAGACAGAATGACAGACAGACAGACAGACAGACAGACAGACCGACCGACCGACTGACAGACAGACAGACAGACAAACAGACGGACAGACAGACGGACGGACGGACGGACAGACGGATGAACGGATGGATGGATGGATAGATAGCTAGATAGATATGTGTATATATATATATATATATATATATATATATATATATATATATATATATATATATATATATATATATATAAACATACGCGCGGCATCAAAACGGCCAATGACAAAACGGCCCCGTCAAAACGACCCCGACAAATCGGCCCCGACATAAGAGCCCCGTCAAATTGGCCCCGTCAAAATGGCCAGCGACATATGGACCCCGACATAAAGGCTACCGATAAATGGGCTTCCGTTATTTAGGCTCCCGACAAATAGGCTCCCGACAAAAGGGCTCCAGTCAATAAGGCTTCTGACAAATATACTCCCGTCATTTTGGCTCCCGACATATAGGCTCCCGTCATTTAGTTTTTTCCACAAAACGGCCCCCGTCATTACGACTCCCGACAAATAGGCTCCCGCCATTTAGTTTTTCCACAAAACGGCCCCCGTCATTACGACTCCCGACAAATAGGCTAGCGTCATTTTGGCTCACGACTAAAAGGCTCCTGTCAATTTGGCTCCAGACAAAAGGACCACTGACAATACCGTTTCTGTAGAGACTAAATCTCCCGGCAAAGCGGTCTCATTGAATATGACACCTGCCAGTGGGACCCCTTCATCAATATTCTTTCGAGTTAGCTTATCCAACACTCTTAAGTAATACAACGTATGCATCTCTTGTTCGGCAGGCCTTATTTTTATATTAGTTTATCTATTATAAAATATAGTATGTTTTAATGTGATGAAATGTAAATTTGACCTCATGGTTTACAAGAAGCTCACTTTAGATACACCTACATCATGATGTCAATATTAGAGCCATGTAATCTATAAAGACAGTGGTGTTAGTTTCTCTTTATAAGTGGTAAAACTTCAGAAGATTGTGCAAACTATAGTTGGCAATGGTTTATTTTTCAACTGCTTATGTTGAACTTTGAATACTAAAAGTTTCTTCCTGATATTGCTGATAGATATTTTTTATGGCACTTTAAATGTTTAAAAGTTAATTTTCTCAAAACTTGTTTTTTCAAGATTTTTGCTTATTGTAACTCTAATGTTTTAGCTGTTTGCAGAGATAATGTCTTGAAACTTGGTGTACTTTTTCATTATTCATGTTATGGTGTAACTGTACATGTGAGAATGATGTGCATTGTGTACATTTTTTTTTTTAAAAATTTCATAACTTGTATGCCTTGTTTTAAATTATGCATTTTTTATAAAAATTGAAAAAAATGTTTCTTTTACATTTTAATGCAAACAAACTGCTTCTGTACACTCTAGAATGGTTCTAGTTAAATAAACAGAATTAAAACCATCAATATTTGTTCACATTATTGAAACATTAGATTTGTAAAAAAAAGGTGTTTTTTTAAAGATGGCCGCCGTTACCATGGCAACCATGCATAATTAGGTCCTCAGAATGTGGAATTTTTATTTACAGTTGCTAACTATTAATAATAGTATATTGTTACTTGCTTATCTCTGCTGTGGGCTAGTTTGGTTTTTACAGTGGAGTGGCCCCTTAAGGGTCATCTATCTATGACTTCCATAATTGAGTCGGTTATAGGCTGTTCCAACTCAGTGTGTGTGGAGAAGGGTCCACGCTGTACCTTCCTACCTCCAGTATGCTTGTAGGTTATCAAAACAAAATGTCGTTATCCTGTAAACATCATGTATATCGTACATTTTCACTTCTGTGCTCGCTTTTATGCAAAAGATCTTTACAGTTGTAAATAAGATTATCAAAATTTTAGAATTCATAGATTTTAGCTGTTAGGGGCTTGATTTGTTTGAGAATTGATGTTGGTTCATGAAAAACAATTTCATTCAGGCATTAAAAAGAGGTTATAGTAGTAATGGAGGTAGGACAACATGGTTACTTTTATGCCAATGGTGACATTACCATTCATTTGTCTGGAGCCAATATGTCGGGAGTCATTTTGTCGGTAGCCAATATGTCGGGAGCCCATTTGTCGGTAGCCACTATGTCATGAGTCCATTTGTCGGGAGCCCATTTGTTGTGAGCCCTTATGTCGGGAGGCAATATGTCGGGAACTACTTTGTCGGGAGCCAGTATGTCCTGAGCCTATTTGTCGGGAGCCAATATGTCGAGAGTCCAATTGTCGGGAGCCTAAATGTTGGGAGCTCATTTGCCGGGAGCCTATATGTCGCGAGTCAATATAACGGGAGCCCATTTGACGGGAGCCAATAAGTCGGGGCCCTTTTGACGGGGCTATTTTGACTGGGTCGTTTTGTCGGGGGTCGATTTGACGGGGTCATATTAACGGGGCCGTTTTGACGGGGCCGATTTGTCCCGGGCCGTTTTGACAGGCCAACATATATATATATATATATATATATATATATATATATATATATATATATATATATATATATATATATATATATTAGCCGGCCAGGCCCTTCACTGGCCTCTGTGAAAAACCAATCTGTAAATGACCATGACTTGTGTGTTTATTAAGTGGGATATATCCGGCATTATCTAGGTTTAGGAAGTATATTACTTTTCGAATTAACCTTTACAAAAACCAACCAAAACCAAAACAATAAAAAAACGCAAATGTAACACAAAAACAAACAAAAACACAAACGCAAACAAAAAAGTAAAAAGATAACAAACACAAATCCAAACAAAAACACAAACCCAACCACAAGCGTAATCCCAAATACAAAGAAAACACAAACGCAAATTAAAAAGTAAACACAAACACAAACGCAAATACAAATAGAAACGCAAACAATAAATTAAATTAACATTACTAAGGTGGAGTTGATTGCCGCAGAGGATGTCTTTTGGTATTCTAGCGTCAGGCATGCAGCAGACTTGACCAACCCAATCATGCAGCAGACTTGACCCAGCCAACCCAATCATGCAGCAGATTTGACCCAGCCAACCCAATCATGCAGCAGACTTGACCAACCCAATCATGCAGCAGACTTGACCCAGCCAACCCAATCATGCAGCAGACTTGACCAACCCAATCATGCAGCAGACTTGACCAACCCAATCATGCAGCAGACTTGACCAACCCAATCATGCAGCAGACTTGACCAACCCAATCATGCAGCAGACTTGACCAACCCAATCATGCAGCAGACTTGATCCAGACAACCCAATCATGCAGCAGACTTGACCCAGCCAACCCAATCATGCAGCAGACTTGACCCAGCCAACCCAATCATGCAGCAGACTTGACCCAGCCAACCCAATCATGCAGCAGACTTGACCAACCCAACCATACAGCAGACTTGACCAACCCAATCATGCAGCAGACTTGACCAACCCAATCATGCAGCAGACTTGACCAACCCAATCATGCAGCAGACTTGACCAACCCAATCATGCAGCAGACTTGACCCAGCCAACCCAATCATGCAGCAGACGTGACCCAGCCAACCCAATCATGCAGCAGACTTGACCAACCCAATCATGCAGCAGACTTGACCAACCCAATCATGCAGCAGACTTGACCCAGCCAACCCAATCATGCAGCAGACTTGACCCAGCCAACCCAATCATGCAGCAGACTTGATCCAGCCAACCCAATCATGCAGCAGACTTGACCCAGCCAACCCAATCATGCAGCAGACTTGACCCAGCCAACCCAATCATGCAGCAGACTTGACCCAGCCAACCCAATCATGCAGCAGACTTGACCCAGCCAACCCAATCATGCAGCAGACTTGACCCAGCCAACCCAATCATGCAGCAGACTTGACCCAGCCAACCCAATCATGCAGCAGACTTGACCCAGCCAACCCAATCATGCAGCAGACTTGACCCAGCCAACCCAATCATGCAGCAGACTTGACCAACCCAATCATGCAGCAGACTTGACCAACCCAATCATGCAGCAGACTTGACCAACCCAATCATGCAGCAGACTTGACCCAGCCAACCCAATCATGCAGCAGACTTGACCCAGCCAACCCAATCATGCAGCAGACTTGACCCAGCCAACCCAATCATGCAGCAGACTTGACCAACCCAACCATGCAGCAGACTTGACCAACCCAATCATGCAGCAGACTTGACCAACCCAATCATGCAGCAGACTTGACCAACCCAATCATGCAGCAGACTTGACCAACCCAATCATGCAGCAGACTTGACCAACCCAATCATGCAGCAGACTTGACCAACCCAATCATGCAGCAGACTTGACCAACCCAATCATGCAGCAGACTTGACCCAGCCAACCCAATCATGCAGCAGACTTGACCCAGCCAACCCAATCATGCAGCAGACTTGACCCAGCCAACCCAATCATGCAGCAGACTTGACCAAGCCAACCCAATCATGCAGCAGACTTGACCCAGCCAACCCAATCATGCAGCAGACTTGACCCAGCCAACCCAATCATGCAGCAGACTTGACCCAGCCAATCAATCATGCAGCAGACTTGACCCAGCCAACCCAATCATGCAGCAGACTTGACCCAGCCAACCCAACCATGCAGCAGACTTGACCCAGCCAACCCAATCATGCAGCAGACTTGACCAACCCAATCATGCAGCAGACTTGACCAACCCAATCATGCAGCAGACTTGACCCAGCCAACCCAATCATGCAGCAGACTTGACCCAGCCAACCCAATCATGCAGCAGACTTGACCCAGCCAACCCAATCA